TCATTGAAAAGCTGTTTAGAAAAAACATAAAAGTTTGTTTCAAAAAATGTCAATATTTTTTATATGTTTTCAAAAAAAGCTGAATTTGTGAGTATCGCTCTTGATGAATCTACTGACCTTGTCGGTAAAGCACAACTCTGTGTTTATGCACGTTTTATCACTACAAATTGTTTTTTGTTTGAAGAACTGGTTGGAATTGAACCACTGGCTATAACTACAACTGGACAAAAAATTTATGACAAATTGTTAAAAATATTAAAAGATAGGAAAGTGCCTCTTTATAAAATATCTTCAGTTGTCACAGATTGTGCTCCTGCTATGATTAGAAGAATTTGAGGAGTTGTTACTTTGCTGAGAAATAATGGTGAGTTTCCTAACAAATTTATGTCATATCACTGTGTTATACACCAGGAAGTACTATGGGCTAAAGTTGCAACAATTAATAATGCAATGGCGGCTGTAGTAAAAACAATCAATAATATACGTTCCAATGCACTCAAACGGTGTCAATTTCGTGCGCTAATGGAACAAAATGAAGATGAACATGGTGATTTTTTTCTTCATTCAGAGGTATGTTGACAAAAAATAAGTACTTTACCATTACAAGCATAAATAAATGTTTGTCTATTTTTTGCAGGCCAGGTTAATATCAAGAGGAAAGATTCTTGACAGATTTCGAGACTGTTTGCCAAGTGTATTGCAGTTCATAGTAACTCAAAAATTTTCATTTTTTACAATGTCTATTGAAAAATTTAAGTGTAAACTGGCTTTCCTTTGCGACATTACAGCACAGTACAATGTTCTGAATAAGACATTATAAGGCCACCATTTGCTGGTTTGTGATTTGATCAACCACATCACTGTGATGAAGACAAAACTTAATTTTTACAAAACTCATTTTGCATCTGGTAATTGTACTCATTTTCCTACTTTAACTGAATGTCAACCATCAAGGGAAATGTTATCGTCATTCTCATTAATAGTGACTGCTCTGTATGATCGATTTGATAACAGATTTAATGAATTTGAAGACTTAAAAAAGCAAATGGTATTTTTGTGTTATCCATTTGACTTTGATATGAATGATATTAGTATTCTAAAGGACTTTGAAGAAGTTGATATTTTAAAAGCAGAGGATGAACTAATTAATTTTCAATGTGACGACAAGTTGAGAAGAAAGGCACCAAAAAAAGATGAAGATGGCACTTTTGGTGAAAATTTAATTATTTTCTGGCATGATGTCATGAAGGAACGTTTTCCAGTTCTTAAATAACATGCAAATAGGCTTATCTGTATGTATGGCACTAGTTACCAATGCAAACAAACATTCTCAGCCATGAAAATTATAAAAAATGTTTACAGAACAAGACTGACTGACACTCATTTGAATGACCTTGTGCTAGTTGCAACAACAAAATACTCACCAAGTTTTTAATTGTGTTTTATGTGTTTTTTTTCTTAAGTGTGTATTTTGTAATGATACAATTATCATAGTAATAATGCAATTATTAGTTCTTTAATCTAATTCTATACTATATTATATTATATAGTTAATATAGTATATTTTGTGTACAATTTATTTATTGCTGTGGGCTGCAACTAAAACAAGAATTTTTCAAGTGGGTTCCTTTGAAAATATGGTGTCGACCACTGGCATACATAAAGAAATTTGTTTTGCATTGATTTCCCAATGTAGTGTATTTTTTCAAAAAACCTTTAAAATGCTGAGTAAGACTAAATATTATGCTTATTTTTAAACAAATTTTTTATAAAAAAATCTACTCTTAGTTAGGAGGAGTAGATTCAATGATCAAAAGTTCATTGATTAGGTTGTTGTGATTGTGGAGATAGGTGGGGATACGATCGAGCTAGAACATTGTTTTTTCATCAAACAGTTTTTAATGGATAAAGTATAAGGCAATGATAATATGGTATTTTAAAAATACTGAAAACCATCCCATTTTTTTTTCGCTTTTTTAACACTGCTTGAAAGGTAAAAGTTAAAACACTATGTTTTTATGGATTAAATTAAGTAAAATTGTAATTAAAAATTTATTGTTCGAATAATTATTTAATTTCTGCATTTGTTTTCAAAAAATGTTTCACATTCTAATACTTTTATATATATATATATATATTTTTTTAATGAATTGGCCTACCCATGGCCAAGGAGACCACTGCAGTTAAGAAAAACAATTTTTTTTAATATTTTTTAAATTGCGATTGAAACCTTAACCTTGATGAACAAGATCACTGCCTGGAGAAACAAGTTGAGTGCAGTACAACCACGGGTGTGATGGGTTGGAACTTGGAACTTCTCGCTTACAAGACAAGTCCTCTATTACTATACCACTTCTGAATTAATAGCAGTCTATATTAATCATATACATTAGTAATATAAATTCAAACTATTTTAACCATGGCATCTCTTATAAAACAGTGAAAATATGAATGGATAAAAAGCAATTTAAAAAAGAAAATTTAGTTAATTTTTAAATAAAATTAAAAAAGGAAATTTACAAATAATTAATATATTTAATATTCATTTTAAAAATAAGAAATATTATGTTAAAACCAGACTGAATAAGATATTGTCAAGTCAAAAACTAGATGAAACTAGATGAATAGGCAGGACTTGAAAAAAATTCATTTTTACTTGAGATTCTGAGGTACAAAATCTATGAACTCACATCTCTGGCTCACATGCCGTCATCATATTTTTAAATTATTCTTTAGGTCATTTTGGAGAACTTTCTTTCAAAAACAGACAACAACTGATGTTATACATTTTACAATTGTTAAAATCTAATTGCTTCACTAGAGAAACTTTCCTCTTGAAATTTCCATTAGTTCCTTCCATATTGAAAAATCTTTCTTAAAAAAGTGCAAATAAAAAATCCATTTACTTTAAATAAGTACAATTTAAAGTATCACACTTAAAAGATTTTTCACTAGAAAAACTTTCCTCTTGCAATTTTCATTAGTTCCCTCGATATCGAAAAATATATTTTTAAATAGTGCACATGAAAATCACACTTAGGAGATTTTTAAGATGCTGCAGAATTTTCCTTCAGACAGTGGTTTGCTTTTATAATTTTGAAGACAATGGAAAATGTTTTGTAGGGACAAAACATTTTTTATGGGACAAAAATGTAATTTATTTAAAATGAAGTTGTTTTCAAACTTTTATGGTAACTATCAATACATAAAAATTAATTAAGAAAGTAGTTCAAAATACATATATAAAAATAAACATATAGAACAAATTCAAATAAAATTTCTTATCTTCAGGGCGAGATTACGCAAAACGAAGTTTTTAAAGTGGTCAATGTAGTGGTCAATTTGCTAAAATTAACATGGTTAACATTGGTTAGGTTTATTAAAATTTATTAGCTTTGTTAAAATAAGCTAAAACTCATTTGTAGAGAAACTTGAGCAAATAACTGTTGCCTAAGTTTGTACTAAATCTTAATGAACCATACCTTAGCTGCCAAATGATAACCTTACATGTTAATAAAGAAAATAAACCTTCCATTTTACATTTACAAATAACTTTTAAAAAACTGCTACTATCAACTTTTTAAAAAATACTTGAGTTTATAGAACTTATATTACATAATAAAGAATAAAAATCAGCATGTTATAAAATATGCAACTAATTTGAAGTGAGTTGTATATTTTATAAACTAGCCTTCTCAACTGTAGTGGCCTTCATGGTCTTGGGGATGCGAGTTTACATTAAAAAAAACGTTATGTGATATTATGTTGTTTAACTTATGGACTATCTTTGATATGTTATGTAAAATTGTGTTGTTTAAATTTTGGACAAACTTTGATATTATGTTGTTTAACTTTTGGGCAACCTTTGAAATGCTGTGTGATATTGTGTTGCTGTGCTATAATTAAATTCTTGTTTCAAATTTTTTTTATTAAGTTTTTCTCAGTTAATTCAAGTCTTTGCTTGTTTCAAAAATCAACTTGATGCACTTAAAGAATAATATAAAGTTTTTTTACCATTGAAACCATTGAAATGTATGAATTGTGCAACAATCGTTGGAAGTAGTTTTTCCAGAACTTTTTAAATATTTTTTTTTGTTACTCAATTTTCTTTTTTTTTTTAGATATTTTGATTAAAAATCTCAAAATGGGGTACAAAACTGTCAATATTTATTACTTATTGACTCATGCTGTACAATTTATTTTATTTTTTTAGAGATAATTTTTGGGTTTAATTAGGAATTGTTTGATCACAATTGATTCAACAATAATTTAATGTTAAATATTAATTTATTAATTTATAAGTTAGTTAAACAATAATCAGTCATACTTGCTAGTAGTTAAATATACATATGTTACATAGATACATTTGGTAATTATAAGTATTTGTGCATACGCTGACTCATATTTTATATAAAAATATATGTATAATAATGTATACATTGACTTTTGATATTATTTTATTAATGGTAGGTATAAATATAATATTTGTATAAAATTATTGATGTGTTTTAATTACATTAAAAAACTCAAGCAGTTAAAAGGTAATAAAATAACCAGCACATTTAAACACAAATAAAATTACCATCGCATTTAAATGCAAATATATAAACACATTTAAATGCAAATAAAATAACCAACCTATTTAAATTTAAATATATAAACACATTTAAACGCAGATGAAAAAACCAACCCGTTTTCTTTAGCACTGTATAGGAAACACAGCACTTCACTTATGAGTAAATTAAATTCAAATAAATTAAAAGTTTAATTATTTATTGATATATATAATTATTTGTTTTTTTATTAATCAAAAATAAAATTATAACACAACTAAAAAAATTTATTACAAATTTTTCAAAAAAAAGAAGATTATTTATGAATAATAACAACAATAAAAAATACTAAAAAAACAATTGTATACTCTATTCATTCATTAATATTTATTTTAAAAGTAATTTTATAGTTATATTTTTAGATAGCAATTTTCGATTTTGTTTCAGGAAACATACTGGAATGAAAAACAGTTCCCACGAAGTTTCACCACTGGAATGGGAGAAGGATTTTGGTGGGCTTTTGTTAGCATGACAACAGTAGGGTTCGTGAATTATGAAATGTTTTTATTTTTTTTTTATGATTTATCAAATTCCAATTTAAAAGCTCTAATTTGAAAAATTAAAAATTTCACAGCAGAAAAAAAACTGTATTAGTTTGTGTATTTATGCTTTTTGTACACTACACTAATATATACTATTTAAAGTTATATATGTATATGCTTTTTAAATTTTTAGTTAATTTTTTAAGTTTATCTTTATTGGTTTTTGCAATTTATTGTAATTTTCAGATATGGTGATATTGCTCCAGTGTCAATACCGGGTCGTCTTTTTGCAGTTTTATGGATTTTGACAGGACTGGTTCTTATTGCAATTTTTACTGGTGTTGTAACCACATCACTTACTATTAAAGCTATGTCTAATGATATTATTTTATACAACGCTACAGTAAGAACTATTTAGAAATAAATTATAAAAAGTTGTAAAAAAAAATTATTGCAGTGAATAATTTTTTACACTGTTTATAATTTTTTTTTTTTTTATTGCAATAGGAGTTTTGTTCAGTTTGTTTTAATATAAAACTTTAAAGGGATCCCCAACTGCCGAGATAAGTTGTGTTCATATTAAAGAAAATGTTTAAAATAACAAATAGCATAACATTGACAATTAATTCAAATTCGATAATAATAAAGTTTTTAACACGCATCATTAAATAATAAGAAATGCAAAGTGCTTAAAACTATTGTTTTTATAAGTAGTAACTAAAACATGAAGTCTAAAACAAACCTCATTTAACGAATAAAAATAATTTTTTTTTCAAAATACTTCGGTAATTACTTAACTAAATACTTAACACTTTTAAAAGTCAAGTTTTACAGTGTTTACGCTGTTTTATTTTAACTAAATTTAAAGTTTTTTTTATGAAGAGTTATTTAAGATTTTTTAACTTTGTGATAACTTTTTTATAATTACATAATATAGCTCTTATTTTTTCTTGATTGTGTATAGAATTAGTTAAACCTTCAGAACAAACAAATTCTATGTGTCTAGAATGGAAATTCATGTACAAAAAAAGATAAATTGTAAAGCATACTCGGAAGCTGCTACCATTGGCTTGCGGTAGTAGAGTTAAACCATAACTAAATGTAAATTAAACATAAAATGAACAATTCTAAACCATATGAACTAAATTTAAAACGAGAAACCGCATCATACTGCCTTTATTTTTTCTCTGCCTGCGAACAACTCTGCCTGCAAACTGCGTAGTACAAGAACAAGCCGCGAGAATCATCTCCCATCCACCACAAAACTCCACCACAAATATTTTGCCTTTTAATTGGAATTAGTGGAATTTGGGCTCTACAGCCCACAATCTTAAAAAAAATTTTAAAACATTTTATTTTAAAATTTTTGGAGAAATTTTCATAGTTGTCTTGATTAAAATACATTGGAAAACCACACACCACTAGTAAAGTCATATGATGGTTGATTATCAGCTGTAGAAGTTGTGGAAGTAATATATATAAAATTACAACAAAAAGTTAAAGCCAAAAACAAAAATAAAATGATCGATGAAGATGGGCAGCATCAGGCTCCTCTGTTCTGACGGTCTTGTTCTGCATAGAAAGCAGCTATAGTTAGATAAAAAAGTTTTTAAAGAAGTTGACACTTTGCGCATCAATATTCTTTTGCAACAGAGCGTTCCAGTGACGTACAATTCGGTTTTAAAAAAATGTTTTCTTTCAATACAATGATTTACTCTTTGTTTATCAAGGCACTGACTGTGACTTCGAAAGTTGTAATTCAATCTAGCTAAGTGTTGCGTCTGTGGCTCATAAAAAAAGATCTCGTCAATGGTTCAAGTGATTTTGAATTGCTGAATTAGATCATCCCGTGTTCTGCGGTCTTCAAGAGTCGTTAAACCTAATATTTGCAATCTTTGGGCGTATGGTAAATGCTTTAATAGTGCAAGCGTTTTTGTCGCACGCTTCTGCACTTTTTCTAGTGTTTCAATGTTGCGTTTTAGAGTAATAGATTGGGGTTAGTAATAGTATTATTATTACGGGGTTCACAGTGGCTTGTGAATTTCAACTCTAACAAAACCCAGTTGTTTACTGCAAACAACTACCGTAATATGGTCAACATTCCTATATTAATGAATGGCAATCCTCTTACTGAGTCCTCCTCTTTACATCTTCTTGGATTATCGCTTACTACTGACCTTTCATGGAAACCATATATACAATCGATTGTTAAATTAGCTTCTGCTAGGTTGCTTCTCTTTATCATGCTTGCCATTTCCTTACTTCTGATTCTATTCTCTACCTCTACAAATCTCTTATTTGTCCCTGTATAGAATACTGTTGTCATATTTGGGCTGGTTCTTCTAACGATTCACTTTCTCATCTTGACAAGGTCCAAAAACGCATTGTAAATGTTGTTGGACCTGGACTATCTGCTAAGCTTGAGCCTCTTTCCCATCGTCGTAAAGTTGCATCTCTTTCTACAAATCTTTTCTACAAATACTATCATGGTCACTGCTCAATGGAGTTATCATCTCTAGTTCCATCAACTAAAATTCATTCTCATTTTACTCGTCATTTAGCTAAGTCTCATTCGTTTACTGTATCTGTCCCTGCATGCTCTAAAAACTTTTATTCATCTAGTTTTTTTCCCCACATTTCAATCCTTTGGAGCTCTCTCCCATCTTCATGTTTTCCTGACTCATACAACCTTCAACTTTTTAAGTCTTCTGTCAACCGTTTCCTTGCTCTATAACTCTGTTCTTTTTTTTTTCCTAGTAACTCCCAACTTAGTAGTGGCTGCTTGTAGTCTTGTTGGGAGTAAATGCAAATAAAAAAAAAAAAATGGCGACCATACAATATACAATGTTTTCCAAACAACGATACCTCGACTGCGGAATGTTTTTTTTAGCCTAATAAGTACTTGATTGACCGTTGAGGCTACTGTCTCAACTTGATTTTTTAGTTTTAAGTCATCTGAGATTATGATGAGAAGATCTCTTTCGTTCTTTGTAACTGCAAGTTCTATTCATGATCCATCATTGCTGTACATTGAATATGGTTGTGTTGACCTTTTGGTTCCACAGCCTATGTGCATTACTTTGCATTTTGCCATGTTAAAAGGCATGCGCCAAACTCTGGACCACTCCACGGCTTTGTCATTTTTTAAAGTTGAACAGTCATTTTCAGATTTGATAGTGCCAATGATTTTGCTATCATCTGCATATAATTTGATGTGATGGGCAATGTTGTTTGGAAGATTGTTAATAAAAAGGACAAATAATAATGGTCCTAGAACCCAATTTGATATATGTCCTTTCATGACTACACATTGTTTGCGATTTGATAGCCATGCTTTGATCCAATTCAACAATGTACCATATATACCAAGTGCCCTCAGTTTGTGTAGCAAGCGTCGATAAGGAACTTTATCAAATGCTTTGGCAAAGTCTGTATAAATGACCAGGTGAATGGCCTGTGTCAGGATGTCACGTGTCTCCAGGAGATTGGTTGTGCAGCCTCGCTTGCTTACAAAACCATGCTGAGCTTTTGAAAGCAATTTATTGACAACGCAATGAGACATAACTCGATTGTGAATAATCCCTTCTTGGATTTTGAAGACAATGGAGGTTAAAGATACCGGTTTGTAGTTCGAAACATCAATTTTGCTTCCTTCATTAAAAACTGGCATTATATTTGATTTTCTCTATAGATCCAGGAATTCTCTCATTGCGATTGATTTCTTGAAAATAAGTGCTATTAGAGGGCCAAAAGCAGCTGCACAATTTTTCAAGATGCATGGATGAACACCATCGCAATCCATTGATTTAGTTTCAACCAGATCTTTACGCAGTTTTTAAACCTCTTTGACTGTTATGTCACTTTTAAGTAGAGTACATTTGAATTCTGTTTGCTCGTCAAACTGTGGCATAGGACATTCAGGTTCAACATGAAATACCGACTGAAAAAAGTTGTTTAAAATTTTGCATATGATGGTGTTTTCAGTTGTAGTAGATCCGTCTGATTCTGATGCACCTGATACAATCTTGAACGTGTTGCTTATTTCACACATGTGCATGAAGAAGTTTTTGATCCTCTACCAAGTTTCTCCTCGTAAGTTTATATTGCCGGCTTCACTACTTTAACTACATTTTTGGATGCAGCCAAATGTGCCTCGCAAAGTGCCAGATGAGTACATCTACCAGACACTTGATATTTTGCCCAAAGTTTGTGCTTCTTGTCGACTGCAGCAATAACATCTGGTGAGACCCAGTTTTTTTTTTTTGCTGCAAAAGACGTTGTTGTTGTCCGAATGTGGAATGTAACTGCTTCATTGTAATTTTTAACGAAAATGTTGTAGCTTTGATCTGTAGAACAAACATAAAAAACTTCATTCTAATTAGCGCAGATAGCACAGAGATAACAACTTGTAATCTGCTTTACTCTAGGTTAGACACCGGTTTTTTGATAACACATGAGTGTAGAGACCAGTCATGGCCATTGTGCCTTTAATAAGACAATGTGACTGTCCCATTAGCGTGTGTCCGAGAGGATCGGATATATATATATATATATATATACACATTGTATATCTATATATATATATATATATCTATATATATATATATATATATATATATATATATATATATATATATATATATATATATATATATATATATATATATATATATATATATACATATATATACATATATATATATATATATATATATATATATATATATATATATATATATATATATATATATATATATATATATATATATATATATATATATATATATATATATATATATATATATATATATATATATATATATATATATATATATATATATGTATATGTATATATGTATATATATATATATATTTGCATATATTGGTTTGCATAGAATATATAGTGGTCTAATAAAAGTAAATCTAAGCTAAACAAAATAATTTTGTAGTTGTGTGAATGCATTGAAAGATTTTCTTTTATTTGTTGCAGCTGTATCAGAAATAATAATCTTAATTGCAGGTTGATCTTATATTTATCGAGCACAGTCTTTATTGCATTGCATACTGTTTTTTTATTTTTTTTCTATCTTTTTTATTGTACTGTGAAAGAACAGCTTAACTTCTCTAATTTTAAGTTTTAGAAACTGATATTCTGTATTTTTTGTGCACTTCCTATAAGCTGTGGTTTTGTTTATAAATTTCATAAAATATTTTAATTTTTCTCTAATTGTTTAATTTGTTTTGTAAAACTTTGGTGTTGAAAAAGGAATTTTGTTTAGAAATTTAATTCACTTCCTACAAGGCTGCTAGCAATCATTATTAAGTTTGGAGTTACTAGAAAACAAATAATAGAGTTAAAGAGCAAGAAAACAGTTGACAGAAAACTTGAAAACTTGAAAAATATGAAAATGAGAGAAAGTTTCAAAGAATTTAAATGCGGGAAAAAAAAAAGGTGAACAAAAGTTTTTAGAGCATGCATAGATAGATACAGTTAAAGGATGTGACTTTGTTAAATAATGAGTTAAGGGAGAATGAGTTTTGATTGATGAAACTGGAGATAATAATTCCTTTAGCAGTGACCATGTTAATATTTGTAGAAAAGAGATGCAGATGCTAAGTTTGCAATTAATTGTGTATATGGTTTTCATGAGAGGTCAGTAGTTAATGATAATCCAAGAAGACATTGAAGAAAAGACACAGAGAGAAGGTTGCAATTCATTAATATAGGAAAATTGACTGTATTGTAATATTTTTTTGCAGTAAATTCTGAGTAAAAACTGAGTTTTGTTGGAGTTCAAGTTCACAAGTCATTGCAAGCCCCAAGCTATTACAAAAGTGAGATCAAGTTTAAAATTGGCTTACTACTCTAAGCAATCAAAAAGAGAAGACTTTTTGTCTATAAAGGTGTATAAGGTTGATTCATCAGCAAATAGAGCCACTTTAGTTGTAGGATTGTCAGGAAAATGGTTAATGTAAATAAGAAACAGGACTAAGGATAGAACCTTGAGGTTCCATAAGTTACTGAAGAAGATGATGGAGGTAATGAAGTTACTGAACAAGATAATGAAAAAGTTGTTGGTCTTTGATGATGACTTTAATAAAAAGATTAATATTAAATGATTTGATAACCATAATAATTTTCCCAAGTGTATAAAAATTTTTTTTTCCTAAACATTTTCCCAGGTACACACCATATAAAGCTTATAGAGAAGACCAGCCTGCTAAACTTTATCGAATATATTTTAAAAGCAATTGAGTCTGCCTTGCCGCCTCCATCAAATGCACAACAGAACCTTTCAGTTGAACGAGAAGATCAAAAACCATATTGATTGTCAGAGAGTAAGTTATTATTAGACTCAAGATGGGATATTAGAAGTTTGTTGATTATTTCAATTCAAGGAGTTTTGCGTCTTTTTGTACTGAGTTTTGCTGCTGTCGCCAACCTTATTGTTAAACTAAATTTTTTTCTTTTAATTGCTGTTGCAATCTGTAAAACTTTAAAACCAAAGAACTACAAGATACTTATTTTGCTTTTTTTTTTATTTCTTCATTTTTACTGCCTAATTCACTATTGCAATCTTTACAAAATTTTTGTTTAATGAATTTTTGTATTTGACTCTAAATTTATTTCTTTATATTTTATTATCTTTTTTTCTTATACATATCAGAAGGAGGTTTCTGTTCATTTTGAAGTCTTCAAGATTTGAAGTTTATCTAAAAGTTTGATAATTAAATTAGTTGCAAATAAAAATAAAATTTCAAAACAAAAAAAAAATATCAGATCATCAAAATAAGTTAATGAAGTTGGTAATAAAAATATATCAATAATCAATAACCAATAATCACCTCTTTAAAGTTGATGAAAACCAATATAATAATGGTTTTACTAATCACCAATTACAATTAATTAATTAAAGTAATTACAATTATCATCATCATCATCTTAATCCATAAACCACAATCACCAGTGTTATTAAAACAAACCTAATCGGTCAAAACAAATTTTGTTTATCATTTTAAAAGTGTTTTACTGAAATTATTACTGTTATTACTCCAAATTAAATATATCCTGATTAAAAACTTAGCTTTAAATTTAAACTTAAAATAAACAACAGTGTAAAGTATACAGTGTAAAGTAGTTACGAAAGCTTGGGATTAGTCACATTTGTACTCAGTTCATACATTTTTATGACGAATTGCATTGAAAATTTATGCATTTAAATAATTTACCTTAACCATTAAATGTTGTTATAAAAAATTACCTAACAATAAAAAGATGCGAATATGTTCAACTCGGATGATGATTTATTTTAAGACTTTCTAATGGTATTTTTTTGTTTAAAAATATTATTTCTCCAATAAAAACATGAGGGAAAAAAAAAATTATATATGTGTGTGCCTGTGTGTATGTATAAAATTTAAAATTTTTATATATGTGGATACAATTAAAATTAATTTATATGTTTATGTTTAGTTAGGTGCATTGAATAACTCTAATGAGTTTATTAAAGGTGTTATGCGTAACGGTATAATGAAAAGTAAGTTTTTTATAAAAAATAGTAAGTGTGACCATGTTTTGCTTTTATAAATATATTGTAGTATTTTCAACAATGACATTGCTGTTTTTAAAAATGTTTTATGTGTAGATTACTCCAATTTTGATGGATTGGTAACAGCAATGAATAGAAATGAAGTGAATGGAATTTTGTTAGATTTGAATGTTGCAGCCTTTTATTTGCGAAATAATAACGCATTTCGTGTTTCAAAGATTTTTCCCTCAACTTCTTCATATTGTGTAGTTTTGGGGAATGATTTGGCTCAAAAAAAATTTTATGATACTTTTGTTCAATACTTGAGTAATAACAGTGCAAAAGTTTTAAAAGCAATCCAAGAAAACTCTTTTACTTTGTCAGTAAGTTTGTTGTTGTATATTATTGTTTTTTGCCTCATTTTAGTATAATTTTGTGAATCAGCTATAAGATTGCGAATCATCCAATTTTTGAAAATTGTTTTATAATTTCAGGCACCTCAATCTAGTGCTGCACAAGATTCTGCAAGTAGTATTTTTTTTTCAAGCAACAGATTATTTGTTCGTTCTGTAATTACTACTACACTTTTACTTGTATTTTTCTTTATTTTTGGTGTTTTATTTGAATATTGGTATCTCCAACCTAGAAAACGTATGATTCAGGCTGCTAAAAGTAAGTACTGCAAAATAATGTAATTTATAGATTTTCTTGTAATTTATTTTTTTCTTTTCAGAGCTGTGGCTAGACTACCCCACACACCCTAATTGGGGCAGGGAGGGGGGGTTGTCTAGCAAATGTAGGGACCTTTATGGAAATTTATGAAGCTTTTTTTTTTTCTATTTAGTAATGCCTAATGAAAATTTTTTAAGGACTTAGGGCCCTAATTACAGGTTTGGGGGAGGTCTCTGACCTACTAGCCACGGCATTGTTTTTGTTAGTATATCAATCTCAATGCCTAAGTATATTATTATATGATATTTGGTAATAATGAAACATCTGCTTGTATAAGTGGATCCTTTTTTTAAAATATATTCCTAACATTTTTTGTGAAACTTTTATTCAACCAGGGGGTAACTTCTAGACAATCATATAATAAAATGTTAAGTATTACACCTTTTCAAGATGCAATTAAGAACTTGAAAGTTGTAATTAAGAAACATTAGATGTAATTGAGAAGATGAAAGTTGTAATAGAGAAACGTAAGATGTAATTTAGAACATGAAAGTTGTAAATAAGAAATCATAAGATGTAATCGAGAACATAATAGTTGTTATTAAGAAAAGTCTATAATATAGATTGTCAGAACAAAGTTCTTTGTGTTTTTAATTTTTTTTTTTTGTCTTAATGTACCTTGTAATTAAAGGTTAATTTCTAATTTGGCCGAGATGGCCCTATGGGTTTGTTTTCAATAAGTAATAATATACTATCAATAAAAAAGTGATGAAAAAGGCATTTGCGGTTGTGGTGGTGGTGTGGTGTGGTAATACTGGAAAAATCCTATCAGGTATTAGTTAGAACTTTCTTTTTTCTTTTTTTGTTTTTGAAAAATTCATTTGAGATAAAATAAATAAAACACAAATAATTTATTTACAAAAAAATATAAAGATTTAAATTGCAGTTAAACAATGTCATTAAAATTCATTGTAATATTCAGTTGAACACTGACTTGGGCATCTTCCATGTCTAAAATTGTTGCATAATGCTTTGTAGAATGTTGAGTTTCACAATCACCTCCTATTATTGTATTTTTTCTGAAGTACAAATTCTTTTCAAATACTGTATTTGTTGTTCCACAATCCCATTACCGAATACAGATGGAATGGGAATTGCATTTTAAACACTACTTTTAATTTCAGACCAGATTGTTTCCACCTGCTTTGATATTGGACTGTAGGGTCCTAAACATTACAACTGAGCTGAAGAATTTTTAAACACACTTTTCAAACAAGCATGACATGGATCATTGTCTGTTACGATGACCAAATCCTCTAAAAGTGTCCTAGATGTAACCCACTGGTGAAACATAACCAACATCTACTTGATACAAGATTCTGAATTAAATGATCCTCTGCAAGTTTCCATCATGACAACATTTGTTGTTGATATAGCTGCAATCAAATGTTTGCACCTTTTGAATCAGGTATTTTCATTTTTGCTCTTTTTTCCTGTTTGGCCCGTCCTTGCGTTTTTCTACAAAATGATAGAATTTGTTTCATCCAACTAAACTATCTGATGACCATTTGTGATTTGTTCTTTGATATTCCTAACATATTCAGCTCTTTTTTGTTTGATTTCATAGCTGTTTTTTGTATAAAGTAACTTGTACACTTTTTTTTAATGAAAACAATCTCCCTTCAAGGTAATTGGCGGTTGTTGTTGTGCTGACACTAATATTAAATTGTTTTAATATTTTTGTTTTGATAAATTGTCATAATATTTTTGTTTTGATCCTTAGTCAATTTATTTGGTTTAAAATCATTGCTTCTGATAAAATTCGAATTTCCCCTGCAAACCAAATTTAAAGCTAACTTATATTTGACCTCTAAATTTTGCACCACAGTAACCCAATTGTCATTTTGCTCAACACATTCAGCAACTCTTCTTCTGTCATTCAGTAAAGATAAAACTGAATGTTTTCTTTTCAACTAGTGTGGGTGTATGTATTTCATGCTGACAAATTGGACAAGTTCTGGCTGTTCCAGAAGCTATTTTGGTGAAATAAATGTTGTTGTAAGATGATTTGGTGAAATAAATGTTGACACATATTTAATTTAATAACAGAATTTTGGGTCAGAGTGTATTGACAAATAACACAATGATCTTTCATTTCCATCATTATTGCTGGTGCATACAAATGCTTAAATTGATATTATTAACTTATTTAAATTCATGTTCCACAAAACTTTTTATAATAAACCTGTAAGCTTAAATTGTGAATTTTCAATTACAAGTTATTCTCATTTACATATTACAATTTCTTTATTACAATTCATGTATTTCTTATTACATATTAGAATTTCTTATTAACTTGTTGTGTTTCTCAATTACATTTTACAATTTCTTAATTACATGTTGTGTTTCTTGATTACATATTACGATATCTAAATTATATGTTGTATTTCTCCATTACATTTTGCAATTTCTTAATTACAACTTTCATGTTCTCAATTACATTTTGAAAAGGTGTAGTTTGGTTTCATTTTGTTTATAAATTTTCCAGTTATTATGTACAAATGTTTATAATTTATGATACACCACCCGCATAGCATGAGGTCTTTTTAAAAGAAAAAAAAATAATAATAATAATAACTGAGAACCTTGTTTTTATTAAGACTTTGCCTGAATATTTTTATAAGTATATTTAAAATATTTTATGCTTGACTTATATAATTATATGTTTGATTAGAAACCTACTAAATTTTATCATATCAAAAGGTTTTGTTTTAAGTAATTATATTTTTCAAAATATAATGACTTTTTTACATGAAGTCAAGTTAATAGTAATAGTAACAATAGTAATTGTGAAAATTGTTTAAACCCAGTTTAATATTAAACAGTAATAAAAGATCTGCTTCATTTGCTGATCAAGTTTTTTGTTAAATACATAAAATATATTTTTAGTTTGACAAATTTGAAAAAAAGTACAGACAAACTACTTTGTCAACTCTTTCCTCATTAAACTGTATTTCTTATATTCATTTGGTATTTTCATTTTTTAATGTTTTTTTTTTAAGTAAAAAAATTAGTACTAATTTGCCAAATTTTTTTTTCAGACACGTTGATCATTTGCTTAATCTTTTTTTCTAGCGAAAAAAAATTATACAAAGATTTTTTTTGGGGGTTTTAGATTAGTTTTAGTTTTCTAACTTATATACAATAAACTTTGTTTGAATTTATTTTCAACTTAATTCACTGTATAAGTCACTGTATCCACACTAAGTTTTTTTTGTACTGCAGATCTTGAAATAGTTCAATCACCAGAAGTTAAAGAGAACGCTAAACGTGCAAGATTTTTAAAAGAATATTTATTGTGGGAGGTGAATGAGTTTTATGACAGATGGTCAAAGAAATTGACATATTTATCAAGAAAGCATAAACTGCAACAACAGGCATTTCTAAGCAGAGGTAATTGACGTTATATTTTCAAGCAGAGGTAAGTGACATTGAATTTTTAAATAGAGGTAATTGGTGTTAAATTTTTAAGCAAAGGTAATTGGCGTTAAATTTTTAAACAAAGGTAATTGACTTAAAAAAAATTTTTTTAATTGAGTTATTGAAAAATATATATATTTTTTTAATTTTTACTTTTTATTTCAATTATTGATTGTTAAATCAATAAGAATAATTTGATGGAAAATCAAGGATGAAATAAATTGGAAATCAATAGTAAATTGAATTAAAGGGTGCATCAAACGCCTTTTTTGAAAATCAAAAGGTACGGCTTTCCATGTGCTGTGGGCGTAATCTGTGGTCAATAAAAAACAAAATTTAATGAGACAGATGAGACATCTGTGTCATCAATTAAAACAATGATTCAGCAAATTAGAGATTATTAGGACAGCTTTAGGTGTTGTTTTGTAAGTTTTTCATGTTAAAATTTTAACCTGGTTTCTCAAAAAAACCTGGTTTTCACACAATATTAGACTTAATAGTTAGCTATCGTAGAAGAAATATTTAATTAGGGATACTTTTCCTATTATTTTATGTGGGTTAAGAAAGGTTTTTTATTAAATTTTTATTATTCATTTATAAATAAAACTTACAATTTTTTTTAATTTTTATTTTAAAATCATGTTTTAAAAACATTAATTTTTATCAAGTAACTTAACATAAAATCTCTACAATAAAATATATACAGGCATTTTTTAACTATTTTGAATGTTAAAAAAATATAATAAACTAAATCAATTAAGAGAAATATTTACTTTGAGCTAACTTACAGTCATTCTGTTTCTATTGCAGATAGATTTAGCTGTTGAATTAGAATTCAACTTTGAGGGCCAACCAGTTGCCATAACTCTGAAATTTTTGTTATGTTGATGTTTGGAAAAGGTGTTTTTCCCAATGTTAATCTTTAAGGTTTAGGGTTTAAAAATAGTTTTTTGACAATTTTTTCTCTTGTGTTATTGTCTAGTGTTTCATCACATATAGAAAGTAAAACATTTCGTTCTGTAAGAAACTGTAAATGATTTTTAAAACTTTAAATTGCTGCAGTTAAATTTGTTTTGTTAAATGACCCATACTTGATCATGTCCCTGATTGCACATAATAAAATCTAAGCAAGGAGAAGAGGCTGTGAATGGTGCTTTCAGAAACCATCTTGCATGAAATAACTCAGTAAACTTAGCAGCTTGATGAACAGTTGCTATTTCGTCTGCACTAATTATATCAAATTGTTGCAAATGAAATGTAAGCAGTTCTATTGCCATGTAGTAGATAGCTTTTGATAAATATCTTGCATGACGAAAAGCTAACAAAGTAATTATAGGCTTGAAAAATTTAAAATTTGCTAGTTTATCACTGTCTAGCCGAACCAAAACAAGCTCTGCCAAATGCTTGTAGTCACCATGTGAAAAATTTTCTGTGAGCAAGGAACATTCAAGATAAATTTTGGTTTCAAAAGGTTTGGAAAAATGTAATTCAAATTTCTTAATATAAATCTTTTTTAGAAAAGAAAAAAAAAGTATACAAATTTCTAGCTTTTCTTCTGAAAATGCTCTTTTTTGCTTGCTAATTCAAACCTGTTGTTCAAATTTATGTCCAGCTTTTAAGTTTCCCAGAAATTTTGATTTTTTTCGAAAAGATTATCAACTGTTCTATTTGAGATTATTCCAGAAACTGCAAGTACTATATGCTAGATAATGCCCAATGAGATAATAAAAAAGCCATTTGAACATAAGTATTTTATAAATAAACAATTAATAGCATAGCTCTAACTTTAATATGGAACTCATATACGTGATGTCTGCAAGCAAACTATAGTAACTGTCTGCACAATTATTTTTCCAGCAATACACATGCACCCTGCACAAATGCACTCTGCATCAAACTTTAATTTGATTCATTTATTTGAAGAGAAAAAAAAATTAAAAAGTATAATGAAAATTATAAAAATATCAAAATACAAAAGTATTCTCTATTAAGTGCACAAATTTTTCTCAATTTGAAGATGTAGTGTCAAAACATACACTATGTATTAAATCCCAGAGATTCCAAGATTTTAAACCATTATCACTAATCACTTCATTTGAATGGAACTTTGCTGACTTAGGAGAAATATCAAAATTCTTCGTATTGTGGTTCTTCACTGCTAACCTAATTTACAGGTAAATTGCTTATATATTCATAAGCTAATATTTACTATTTGAGGTAGTCACTCTCTTCTTGGTAGATTTAATCTCGCTTTGCTTTCTACAAGCAGTAAATAAGTACTTTTTTGTATTCCACCCATCACAGCTTTACGGTCTCCTCGTTGATCGTTCAAAAAATGTATATCGACATTTTAGTGATTTGTTCGTTTGAAAAAATGTTTTGCTGCACATCTTTCACACTTATATCAAATTAACACTTTTCACGTTTGTAGCTATCTATAGTATTTAAATTTTGACGTGATATGTTTTTTGATAGCTTCTTAGAAAGAAAACAACATTCTAGTGTTATGGTAAAATTCTTAGAATAACGTATTAAGATTCTTATTTTCTTTATATATATATATACATATATATAATATAAAACTTTGTGTTTCGATTTTGTATCTTTTCCCATTTTATTTTTAATATTAAATTATATTTGTTTCTACTGTTAATGTCAGGGCCAGTCTTAGGCCGATTTGACCGATTGCTCCAAATAGGGCCCCGCGCTTGGTAGGGGCCCCGCAATTTATAGCATATCATTATAAATGGCAGTAATTTTTTTTTATAAATTTCTATCAATCTTAATATAATTCGTACAGTTAATGTTGAACGTTTAATGCGCATGGTAACGTCTATTGTTATTTTTAGTTTATCGAAACCATTACTTCCATATCTATCAGCAAAACAATTCTCCAGAAAACAGACGTCTCTTTATTACTGCTAGGAACCATTGTGAAAAGGTTTTGTCAAACGCCAAAACCCGCTATTCTCAGATCATGAAATCTCGTATTTCATCACAAAAATTAGGCTCTCGTGACTTCTGGAGAATCTTTAATAGTATCAATAATAAGGGCAAGTCTGTAATTCCACCTCTTTTGTACGGTTCAGACTTTGTCACCTCACCTAAAGACAAAGCTGAATTGTTCGCCAAGAACTTTTCATCAATATCATCTCTTGATGCCACTAGTTGCGTTTTACCTGATATACCCGTCAAACAGGTTGATCCATTGCTCGACATTCGTATCACTCCAGCTTCTGTATCTAAAGTGATTTCCCGCTTAGACTCTTCTACAGCTTGCGGCCCGGACAACATACCTGTTATAGTCTTGCAGAAGTGTTCTCCTGAGCTGTCATCTATCTTTTCAAAACTATTCAACAAGTGCTTATCAGAGTCTTGTTTTCCAACCTGCTGGAAAGCAGCATCTGTTATCCCTATTTTTAAAAATTCTGGAGAGCGATCTGACTCATCTAACTACCGTCCCATTAGTCTTCTTCCTATCATAAGCAAGGTTTTTGAATCTTTAATTAACAAACACTTAATCTTGAATCTCGAATCTCATAGCCTACTTTCTGATCATCAGTATGGATTTCGATCTTCTCGTTCTACGGCTGATTTGCTATCAATAATAACCGATAGGTTTTATCGCACATTAGACAAAGGTGGAGAGGTTAAGGCCATTGCTCTTGACATTTCTAAAGCGTTTGATAAAGTTTGGCATGCTGGTCTCCTCCATAAGCTTTCTTCTTATGGTGTATCTGGAAACATCTTTAAGATTATTGAATCCTTTTTTTCCAATCGTAGTATAAAAGTTGTCCTTGATGGACAGCACTCTTCTTCTTATTCTGTAACGTCAGGGGTTCCCCAAGGTTCAATCCTTGGCCCTATACTCTTTTTAATTTACATTAACGATCTTCCAGATATTCTCACATCTAAGGTGGCATTGTTCGCTGATGATACTACCATTTATTCTTGTCACGATAAGAAGCCAACTCCCTCTGATTGCTTGCAGGGGGCATCTGAGCTCGAAAAGGATCTCACTTCTGCTACAGCATGGGGCTCGCAGTGGCTGGTGAACTTTAATTCAGATAAAACTCAATTTTTTTTCGGCCAATCGTTATCGCAATAATTAGACCTTCCTATATTTATGAACAGTAATGTACTCAATGAGTCTCCTACCCTTCATCTTTTAGGATTAACTCTTACTTCTGATCTTTCTTGGAAACCTTATATCAAATCCATTGCAAAATTAGCATCTGCTAAAGTTGCTTCTCTTTATCGAGCTCGTCACTTTTTTACTCTGGATTCTATTCTCTATCTCTATAAATCTCAAATCCGGCCTTGTATAGAATACTGTTGCCATATCTGGGGCGGATCTTCTAATGATGCCGTTTCTCTTTTAGACAAGGTGCAAAAACGCATTGTAAACATAGTTGGACCTGCTCTTGCAGCCAACCTTCAACCTCTGTCACATCGTCGTAATGTTGCTTCTCTTTCTCTTTTCTACAAATACTATAATGGGCACTGCTCTAAAGAGCTAGCGTCTCTTGTGCCATCTACTAAAATTCATTCTCGTGTTACTCGTCATTCAATTAAGTCTCATCCTTTTTCTGTTACTGTTCCTAAGTGCTCCAAAAACTCTTATTCGTCTAGTTTTTTTCCTCGAACATCAGTTTTTGGGAATTCGCTTCCTTCATCTTGCTTTCCTGATTCATATAATTTGCAATATTTTAAGTCGTCTGTCAATCGTTATCTTGCTCTAGAATCTTCATCTTTTCTCTTCCAGTAACTTCCAACACTAATAAGTAGTTGCTTGCAACCTTGTTGGAAGCAAAGATAATTAAAAAAAAAAAAAAATCTTAGTTGTTGCGGTATATGGTATAAAATATATTAGTTTCCAATCTACTTTCGAAAGTTCCAGAAGTACTTATTTCCGAAAATTCACGAGGCAAACAATGAACATGGCGGCAGCTTTTATATTGTTAAAGATTAAGCTGTATTTACTTTTGAAATGTTTGTAATATATTTTTTGTTTGTTTATGCTATAATTATTTTTCATTTTGTTTACTATTAGTTTTATTTACTTTTGTTTAACGCAAACTTTTCTCGCTTTTCAGTAAATATTTTATATTTAAGACAATATAAATTTTATTGGATAATTTTAAGAGTACTTTTTTTCAAGTCTAATAAATAATCTTAATATTAAATGTTTGTTTATTTATATTAAGATATTTGCAGTAATCAATTGCTTACATTTGTTAGTTTTACTTTTAATTTTGTAAGGGGGATTTTTTATTTATTTTAGTTTAATTAAACTATTTTATTTTATTGTGCAATTTAGTAGTAAAAAAACAGATAAGTTTTTAGTTTTGAAGAACACAAGCCAAAATATGAGTAAAAGACAAAGGGACGTCGGTAGAAAATATCTAAGTGGTAACATGAAGAGAACCTTAGCTAAGGTAAAGAAAACTGAAGCAGAAAAAGAAAAAGGTGCGTTAGATAAATATTTGAGTAAATCAGTAGATCTGTTTGAAACTGAAAAATCAGACAAACAAGTCGAGTCAGACGACAGTAAAACAAATATTTCTAAAGAAATTACATCAGAAGCTAGTAGTAGTTTTCTTTCTGGATGTAATGCTCTACAAAATACATCTGAATTATGTATAAATATATCTGTTAACACACACAAGGATAATGAGGATATTTCAGAATCAAGAGAAGAAAATTCAAACCCAGCACTATGTGATATTTTAAAGATAAAAGATGACCCTGCTACATGGCAAAATAAAATAAATCAAAATGTCAGAGATTATTTAGTGAACGAAGGACCCCCTAAGATCACTGTAGAAAATTTTCCGCAATATGAAAAAGGGTTACATTTTTCGAAATTTCACTGTAAAAGAAAATTAAAAAATGGGGAAGTTATAGAACGACCATGGCTAATATATTCTGAATCATTTGATAAAGTTTACTGTTACTATTGCAAACTTTTTGACACAAATTCTGATTCTGCACTTGCTATATCTGGATTTGACAGCTGGTCAAATATTCATACAAGATTAGAGGATCATGAAAAATCAAAAAAACATTTGCAATGTACACTTAATTGCTATGAACTGCAGCAAAGGTTATCTACTGGATTAACTGTTGATACATTAAATAAAAAATTAATAAGACAGGAAACAAAACGCTGGAATCAAGTCTTTGAGCGACTTGTTGCTTCTGTACAGTTTTTGGCAGAAAGGAAATTGGCATTTCGTGGGTCTGAAGAACAAATTGGAAATCCACATAATGGCAATTTTCTAGGCGTCATTGAATTGCTAGGAAAATTTGATCCAGTTATGCAAGATCATATACAGAAAATTATTAACAAAGACATTCATGATCATTATTTAGGCAAGACCATACAAGATGAAATTATTGATACTATAGGCCAAGCTGTTCTACAGGAAATTATTGCTAGAATTAAGTCGGCAAAATATTTTGCAGTGATTCTTGACTGCACTCCTGATATCAGTCATCAGGAACAGATGTCAATGGTGCTAAGATATGTCGCTGATGGCACACACTCAGATGTCCCAGCAGGAATTTATGAACATTTTATAAAGTTTATTATAGTTGAGAGCAGCACTGGTGAAAATTTATTTAACACTCTTGTGAAAGAAATTGAAATGTTAGGACTAGGTGTTGAAAACATCAGAGGACAAGGGTATGACAATGGAGATAATATGAAAGGGCACAATTCTGGAGTGCAAGCACGACTTTTGGAAAGAAATTCACGAGCTTTCTATACTCCTTGTGTGTGCCATAATTATAATCTTGTTCTTGGAGATATGGCTAAAACGTGTTCAGATGCCATGACATTTTTTGGAACCCTGCAGCGTATTTACACCCTTTTTGCTTCATCTACAAAAAGATGGACTGTTTTTAAAAAGCATGTGAAAGGCCTGTCTGTTAAACCATTATCAGAAACAAGATGGGAATGTAGAATGGAAAGTGTTAAAGCTGTACGATTTCAAGCCGCAGAAGTGTGTGATGCTTTAGAATAACTAGCAAAAAGCACAAATGATGCTCAAGGGAAAAGTGAGGCTGAATCATTAGTAAGCCAAATGACAAATTATAGGTTTCTGGTTGCACTATGTTTTTGGCACTCTTTATTGTTTCAAGTAAATTTTACTAGCAAGGAACTTCAAAGCATTACCATAGACATTGCCGCGGGGCTGACATCTTTTGAAAAATTGTTTGATTGGTTGAAGACATACCGAGAGACAGGCTTTGTAGCTGCATTGATTGATGCCAAAGAGCTTGCAAATGAGTTAGAAGTTGAACCCATATTTCAACAGAAGCGCTGTTACAAGAAAAAAAAAATGTTTTTTATGAATCTTCTGACGAACCAATTTCAGACCCCAAGACAGAATTCCGGGTAAATTTTTTCTATCAAGTTGTAGACAAAGCATTGCAATCTCTTCAACCACGGTTTATGCAGCTGAAAGAACACCATAAACTTTTTGGATTTCTATATAATTTTCAGAATATGTCTAAAGAAGATCTCAGAAAACATTCAGCCGACCTAGAAATTGCTTTGACAGACATTACAAAAGATATAGAAGGGTTCATGCTTTCCGAAGAAATGGAGGCAATTAAGCTAATACTGCCCGTTCAACAACAAAAACCCAAAGAACTCTTTAAATATTTGGCTTGTAATGATAGGTCGACTGCATTTCCAAATTTGTTCATAGCCCTAAAAATACTGATGACAATTCCAGTTACAGTCGCTTCCGGTGAAAGAAGTTTTTCAAAACTAAAATTAATTAAAACCTACCTTAGGTCAGTAATTAACCAAGAACGACTAAACAATTTGGCACTAATATCAATTGAATCTCCTATAAGTAGAGAAATTAATTATGAAAAAATTCTAAAAGATTTCGCAAGCAAAAAAGCAAGAAAGATCCACTTTGACTTATAGATTATTTGTTTATTATGACAATAACAAGAACTGTTTTGTTTAAATTCATTGTAATATTTTTATTATTGTTTATTGATTCGTTTGTGGAGTTATGTTTTTTTGTATAATAAATGTGTTTCAATAATTTTATTAATAGTAGTTATTGTAAAAAAAAAAAAATCAGGTGGGCTCCGCAAGCATTCGTTAAATTGGGCCCCGCAATTCGTAAGGCCGGCCCTGGTTAATGTATAAATATATTTTTCCCCGCTAAAACAAAACATAAAATAATTAAAACTAAAATTATTTTTGTTTTTTCTCTGCGAAAAAATCAATTTCTCCATAATAAAGCTTAAAAGCGTCTTAAATATTTGCGATCGTAATAAAATAAACAGACCGGCAAATTAAAGATATAGTAAAAACCGGTCAAATATTTAAGAAACCGGGTCGAAACTCAAGTTCCAAATCGCTGAAACACAGTCTAATTCTTATTCAATTACTATAAGGTTAGGCTTAAAGTGATCATATTGACTTATAAAATTAGATAAAAAGTAGTGCCTCAAATATTATCATTTTTAAAGTTATTTAACCGTTTATGATATAATTTTTTGAGGTGAAAGTTTGATCTTTGAGCCCACTGAGCAAATTTTGTTTTTTATTGATCACAGAGTACACCCACAGCATACGGAAAACAGTGGCTTTTGATTTTCCAAAATAAGGGAAGTTTGACCTACCCTAATAAGTTGTTAGTTAGTTTTTTGAACTATGAACCTCAATTTAGATTTCTTTGTTTCAGGCACAACAAGTCAGAAAGTTCACGATACCAAGACTATTTCACACTCGTCAACCTCGTCAACCACTCTTGAATTGCATAATGAAGACGAAGTTGATGGTACATTGAGTAATCGAAGCACGGCAGAACTTTTTCAACGAACAGAAACAAAAAATTTATAGATTTTTTATTTTCAATAGACGCAATATTGTGAAGTAGAACCCAGCCCACCCAAATTTTAAAATTTAATAACGCTTGCACAAATTTTAATATAGAAAAAAAAATTATTTTTTTGTTACACTACACGACGTTCTTTGGCTTACAGATACCTCGACCGTTTGATACCTACCTTTGATATTTGATACCTCGACCGTTTATGTTTAATATTATGTCTTTTTCACAATTATTTTAAAATGCAACGAGTTTTTCTATTCACGTCGCTTTTTATAATTTTTTAAAATTACGACTTGCACATATTTGTTTTTATTATAATCAACCACAACCACCAATAGCGCACCTAATCAGTGAGAGAGGAGATAAACTTTCTCCTAGAAAAAAGGATTTGTAAAATAAATATTATAATTTTAAAAACTTTGTTAAAATTGTAAATGAACCACAGATGCAGTTTTTAAAGTACAATTTTTGTGAAAAAGTAGTTTTAACCGAACAGGTATATTTTCTACTTGTTTTATTCATTTTTTAAATCTGTACATTTTTGTGTGTGTGTGTTTTCTATAAAGCTGTACCATCTTTTATATAAAGTTAATCATCGTGAACCTGCTTCAGTCCATTATACTGTCGCAGCTTCAATTTAAATCTGAACTAGGTGTAATATGGTAGTGCAGTAATCCATGCGGTAATGGTGTAGTGGTAGTGCGCTGTTAGTAATCACAGTTTAAAACAATTTTAATTAGTTATTCTGTTGTCTAATTTTTGTACATGGTCCAAGTCAAACTATATTTTGTTTAAAGGTTACCATGGAAGTGGTTTGAATGGTAACAATTCACAGAGACTTTTAGGTAAATTAGACGATCTAAAAATTAACATTTTAAAAGTGCAGCTTTTATGATAACAGTTATGATATTTTAGCAATCTGCAGTATTTATTTTTAATTTTGAAAAAACGTTTTAGATTAGTGAACTCAATTACCAATCTAAAGCTTTTTTAATAAAAAATTATTAGGTTTGAGAACCTTTTGCAGAATCAGTTTTAGATTTTGAATAAGTTTTTAAAAATATGCGGATTTACCTTTGATAAAGTTTAACTGTCAATTAAATAATAGCTGGACAGATTTTAGTACGTCATTTTATTGCTTTTCTTATAATTTGCTTTATAATTTTTGTAAACCAATATCAAGTGTGAAAGCAATACTAATATTGTGTGAAGTAAAATGGTTTGCTGCTTTTAAAAAGTGTGATTGAGTTTGAAATAAACAATTTAAATTAGTCGTTTTTTAATTTTTTTTTTCAATTCTTATCCAAGGTTAAATTTTCAAACAGATAGCATTTCTTTTTAAAGTCTCATATTAAATTAGCGCTTGGCATAATTTTAAACTTTTATCGAGGTCGTTAGAAATACCTAAAAAAATCCTTGAAAAAAGTATATATATTCATACTAAAACTCGGAAAAGTTAGGTGTTAACTTTAAATTAAAAGTGTTAACTTTAAATTCAAAAGCTATAAGTGATGTAGCTCAATTTTAAGCGCCTAATACAACCTAGTATTGACTTTTCATACAACCTAGTATCGACTTTTCATACAACATAGTATCGACTTTTTCGAGTAACTCAACTGCTAATTTGAAGCATTTTTTTTTGAAGAAATGTAGGAAATGATATAAACTTTATTTTTATTTCAAAATGAGTTTGTGGTCAGATGCAGCTTCTCCAATAATGTAAGACTTAAAACCATTTATTATTATATCTTGAACTGCTAAGCTTAGAATACCATAATGGGACTGATGTTACCGTTTGCCATAATAGCAACCAGATACATTAGATATAACTATATAATTCAAATAGATTTATGATGTTGACCCAAATTCAGCCCCAAGTATATAAATATTCCTCAGTTAAAACAGAAATAATGGGGTTTTCTTTTGTTTTGTTATTGGATCTTCGTTTACTGGATCATTTACTTATTTCAGTACTTATATCTGCGTTTGCCAATATTGACGCTCTTATTGATAATTGATGTACTCTTATTAATATTGTCATTATTGCCATTCTTCCTTCAAAATAAAAAAAACTATTTCTTTCTCTGAATTAATTTTTTTGCTTTTCTTTGTACTTTAATTCAGCAGACTCTTTTAAATAAAAATATTTTTAATTACTGACTTCTTATAAACTAAAGGAAGCTTTATTTAAATTAAAGGAAAATTTATTTCAAAGTCAACTTACTTGTCACTTATAAAATAATTGAAATAGAATTAAAATAAAATTTTTTATTCAATACATTTAAAAAAAATATAGTATGCATAATGAATCAAATGCCTGAAGGTTTGGAAGATCACTTATTGGAAGCTCAGATGGCAAACCATCATACTCAGAGGCGTTTCTGCGAATAAATGAAGGAGGGGGGGGTGAATCTCCCTCTCCCCCCTCATTGATTGACCGACTGAAGTGCGTCAAATAGCAAATAAAGAATTTGAGGTAAAATTTCACCAACTGAAGTGCGTCAAATAGCCAACAAGCCGACTAAATTCGTAAAAAACCCGACTATAACTTGAAAATCGCCTTCTTTGAAGGGAGGGGGGGGGGTGTAAAACCCTTACCCTCCACACCCCTCGTAAAATCGCCTCTGATCATACTTCCTGTTTTTGTTGCAATTTTTTGTTGTTTTAGACATTTCTTTTTTATTATATAAATACAATAAGTATAAAACACTTTATATGTTTTAAATTTTGACTTAGTATTCTAGTTATTGAAATTTTTTGCTTCATCTTAAAATATATGAGATTAAATATTAACTTTAATTCAAATTCCAAAAGAGTCATCAATTTTTTTAAATTTATACTTGTTGGAATTTATTTGTTTATATCTAAAGAACTTTGCCAGGTTAATTTTAATGGCAGTGGCCTAATACGTTAGGTGAGTACCAAGGATACGAAAGGTGTCTCTTTTCCTGTTTCGTTTGAAATTCTAAAATAAATTGTTTGAAATTATAAAATAATTTATTTTCAAAACATTACTTGTCAGCAATTTCATGCACGTCAATCAGCTTTACTTAGACACAATTGCTACTAGAGAACTGAAACAACTCTAGATGCTATTGTTGCCTTTGCTTATTTGTAACCGCAAATATATAACGCTTATAATAGTGTTTCCTCAAAAAATAAAAAAATAGCATATTGAATTAAAACTACCTCCAAGAGGTTTGGAAGAAGTTTACGAGCGCGACTGAATGACTAGAGGCAAAGATGGTGTGTTAAGCAATATATATTTAATACGAGTCTCTAAAATATCTCAAGATTTAGTAATTTTGTACGAGTGGCCGGCGGAGAAATGGTTAATTTTAAAACATACCCTGTGGGAATTGAGCTAGCGATTAGCTAGCTTTAAAACACTTTTTGAGATTTTTTTTATCACATTATTGTTTCATTTTGTGTTTTATGCTTTAAAAAATATCAATTTTTAATACTGGATTTAATTTATGATAATCTTGTAAAAGTTCCTCTTGATTTAAAATCTTGATTACACAGCAAAGATTTTTTTTTTCTATAATTTACTAAAAATTATTCAAGTTATAAAATTAATGTAGCTATTGATAGCTAAATGTCGTAGCTTTGTAGCTAGCTCAAACATAACTATAAGTAGTCAATATCGCTAAAGAGCTGTGGTGTATATACACACATCTTTTAAGATTGCAATATTATTATTACAATATATATAATTTAACTATTGTAGCTGATTATTGCATAACGATTATTGTATCTACCGGGTAGTCGCTGTTTTTTTCTTAAAAAGAATTAGTTTTAAAATTTAAATCATTTGTAATTTAAACTAAATGTTAATATTAAAAATTTTACAGCAAAAAACTAAAAGAGAGTTGATAATTACATCATACGCTCTTACAAAAATTTTTAATATACTGCTTTACCAAGACTTCACAAATTTTAAGTGGTGTTGCTGTGTTTTCCACCATTTTGTATTAGTTGCTGTTCTTAGATATTAAGACGTTGCAAAACCCAAAATAAAAAAATCTTTTCGTTGACCTATTCCTAAAATTTGAGAAAAAATGGAATGACAAAAAGCCAAAAACAAAAAAATACCAATCCTATCATATTATAAATAAAGAAATTTAAAAAAAAAAAAAAACAGTTCTTTGTATTTTTAATTTTGTAACTTTAATTTACTTTGTAATTTAAGACTGAATCTGGCAACTCTAGCCAAATGGGTTGGTTTTCAATAAACAATAAAATATTATGGAAAAAAGACTTGGCAACGTATTGGTACTGGAAAAACATCATCAGTTTTTAATTGGAACAAATTTTATTAAAATCAATTAAAAGCTTTATTTCTTTAAGTCATAGTTTATTGACATTTAACACAACGATTATTCAACTCTAATACTGATGGATACAAATGTTAAATTTAATATTAATAACATATTACAACTTATATCCAAGAAGACCTTTTATAATAACCTGTAAGCTTACATTATGCATTCGCAATTATAATTTATGTATTTTCAATTACATATTATGATTTCAAAATATCTGGCAAAATTTCATAGTTAAAGTACTTTTGCTGGAACCCTCACACTAAAAACTTATAAATATTTATTTTGCAAGTATTCTAAAGCAGTATTCCAACGTTGAATAACTTGACGCAGCGCATCAAATTACAACAGACCTTGCAATCACAAGAGTACAGAAAAGATAAAGTCAAGAAAAATTTAAATATTTTTTCCCAAGTTTTTTTATGCATTCTATTTAATGCATTCTAAATTTTCTAATTTACATTACTTTATTATTTTGTATGATAAATAAGGTTGGGTTAAGCTTTATAGGCGGTTAACACTACACTAGTAAGTAATATCGCTAAAAATATATCATATTTTGTTGCCGATAATAGGAAAAAAATAATAATAACGTCAAGCTGATTGTATGAAAAAACATGACTTCAGGCTGATTTGTCAATGGTGTGAAGTTAAAGTTACTAAATTTTTCATTAAAAAAAGGTTGACGAAAACACAAAAAAATTTATTGTACCAACATATAAGATTAAAAAATAATTTTATTAATGAAAAAAAAAATCCGTTCCAATTTATTTTATTTAAAAAAAAAAAAAGTACCTTTAAATACGTTTTTTTTTGCAATAAAAAATTAAAACACTTCTTTAGCTTCAAATAAATAGAGACGATTTATAATTTACCGTTATTGGTTATATAATTATTTATAATATAATACATTTATTTACAAGTGTATATACAAATTATTGGAACTTATATAAAGTATTCATTTAAATAATAAATGCGTGATTCTTCCAAAGGAAAATATTAAGCGTATTCTTCTTCTGAACGAAAATAACTTATTAGCTTCTTTTTCATTTTTTTAACACCACAAATAAATTTGTTTATTTTGTTATTTACAGATTTTTTCCTGTATAAATTTTTTATTTACAAATCTAAATAACACGATAATGTGTTGATTATTACTCAATAACACCAGCGTCTTGTACATTATTCGATAATGCTGCTAACGGTGTTGTTTTTCCGTTTTCGTAGTACATCTACAAGCCGTTCCAACCTTAAAAAAATTTGCATACAAAACTGAAACATTGATTGCTCATTTTCAAAAAAAAATTTTTAATTTGATGTTACTAAAAGATAATAATTTTTAATCTTTTAAGTAATTTTTGAATAAACAAATGACAAATAATATACAGCCTCGTGCATGATGACATGGCAACATGGTTGAATCGACAACTTAACTAGAATGTCATAATCAACTTTAACATTTTGCACAGTTACTAATTTTTGAAAGAAATATTGAGTAGCAAATATCAGCACCAATACAAAAATTTTTAAAATGTTCCACAGGTGGTGAAACACATTTAATATTAAGAACAATAACAAATGACTTCTAAAATTTATTGCTACGAACGAATCAAAATATATTTGTTGATATATTAAATTTATGAACAATCAGTTTAAAAAAAATAGTTTTCTTTGAATATAAAAAACTTTATAATAAAAAATAAAGAAACCTTAAAGATTTTCTAATCAAAGTAACTCAATGAAAAAGTACTTACTTATCAGCACGTTTTTTGTCTTCTGAAGCTTGCTTTAATGTATCCTGAAGTTGTTCGGCGATTGCTTTTTTTTCGCGAACCACGTTGTTATACTTTACCAGGAGTTCGTCATGCATAGACTTAGTCTCATTTAATTTTGATTCTTTCTCAATAAACTTTAATTCAAACTCGTCAAGCGTTGTGTTAAATTGGTCTCGCAAAACTTGCTCGTTGGATAATGAATTACTTAAACTATATATATATATATATATATATATATATATATATATATATATATATATATATATATATATAAAATATAAAATATATAATATAAAATATAAACTATTTATATTTTATTTACTTTTTTTTTTATCATTATAGACCAAATAATGCTAATTTAATAAAATATATTGCTGAACCCTTCAAATTAACTCATAGTTTAATTAGGAAGCTATGACTTTTAACTACAATGGCTGCTTCATTGCCGGTGATTTTAACTTCCCGATTATAAAATGGTCTAATTATGGTAATAAATCTTTTAACCTAAACAATTCTACTTAATATGACTTCTGGAATATTTACAAAAACAGCCTCTTTACACAACAAATCACTTTTCCTAATTCCAGACACCCTGTGGTTGCTCAAATCATGTTGGACTTGTATTTTACTTAAAACAGTTTTTTTATTCTAAACATGTTTCCCAATGCTATATTAGGTAAAAGCATTAAGGGTCGCTTTAGTATCACTTGAAGAATCTTAGTTTCAGAACCGTTTCCCGAAAATGAACTTCAATCATTTAATTACAACAAAGATTACAATTTAATATCAAACTTTATTGCATCAATTAACTTGGTATTTTATTTCTATATAAAATCGCAGACCAAATGTTCAATTTATTAATTTCTAATAACCGTACTTTTTGCGAATATTTTATCCCCAATGTTAATAAAACAAAGTAAAAATATGATCCTTGGGTCCACATATTAAAAAAAAAAACTTATATAGAAAACGTAATTTGAGCAAAAAAAATCCGCTTGGTATATCAATTGCTTAACTAAATGGAAAAATAATAAACTTAAAAACTTATCAACAAATATGCTAACAAACAGCTAAAAAATTAAAGCTTAAGGTTGTTCACTTAGAGATACTTTTTGAACTATTGAAGGTTGTTCACTTAGTGATACTTTAGGCAGAACTATTGAAGCTTTTCCTAATGTAGTTGATGATCTGAACTCCAAATCTATGCTTACACTTTTCCATCGTTAAATAAAAGTGATGTTATATTTAAATGAATGACAACTTAGGTCTTTCTATTTCAGACATTATTAAGAAACTTACCCATCTAAATATACCCTTATAAATCTTTTTTCCATTTACAAAAATCTTTTATAAATCCTTTAATTCTGGAATACTACCCACTCTTTGGAAATTAGGGAATTTTAATTCGGTCTATAAAAATAAATAATATAAAATACTTGCTTAAAACTTTTAAAGTATTTTACTAACCGCTGTTACCTGCAAAACTTTTGAAATACATATATTTTGTTAGTTTACCTTCTCAAGACCGAGAAGGGCACTACAGATGAAGAGGCTACTTAATTGTGATTATAACCCTCACTCAACTCTATAACTCTGAATCTCAAACTTTGACAAACAAAGCTGCTGCGCAGAGAAACAATTTGAGCGCGGTACTACCAGGGGCATGGTAGGGATTAAATTCAGAACCTCTTGCTTATAAAGTGAGCGCTCTACCACTACACCACTACCACACTTGATAAGAACAAAATAATAATAACATGCTCTCTACAAATCAACATGGTTTTCTTCACCATAAATTATGAGTGACTAGTCTCATAGAGACTTTTGATAATATTTCATCTTTTATAGCATTTCACCAGTTTATTGATGTAATGTGTCTCAATTTAGCCAAATCATTTGATTGTCTACCTCACAACAGGCTTATATTAAAATTAAGATATTTCAAAATAAACGGCAAACAAAATAAAAAGGCATAATAAATGAATCCCTAAAAAATTCTACTAAAGACTGTGATTTATAATTTTTTCATCTAATGCCAAATAGAGCACTCATATTCAAACAGTTGTCTCTAAATCTTTATAAACTCTTAATATGCAAATAGACAATCACTTTCATTGATGAAAATAAGACTCTCAAGTTATATAAAAAGTTAGTAAGACCACACCATAAATATACAGTGTCTATTTTGGCTTCTCATTTAAAAACTAATAAAACCTGGTTGAATCTGTTCAAGGCAAAGCAACAAAATGGGCTTCCAGCTTAAGACATTTTAAATACTGCAAAAGACTAAGAAAATTGAATCTACAATCATTGACGGTAAGGTTTTATTGAACAAATTTTTTTTGACATTGAACGTAAGGTTTGGGTTGGGGCAGCAATGAGGTTAGAGTTAGGAGAAATTTTTCACACTTTATTCCTGCTTTTTACACATTGATTTTTGCATTTTAACTGTGTCCACAATAACATATTGTTATATAATTTGCTCATTCACAGATAAATTCCCAGCACCGAACTAAAATACAATTACTGATATCATAATCGAATTACCGCTGTACATATACTTTTTCTCTTTAAACAATGACAAACACAAAACTTCCTGGTAAAAATGGATATTTGACAACAGCAACTTTAGAAGAAATTTTGTTAGAATTACAAATTGAAATTGGAAATTTGAAAGAGATCTTTAGAAAACAAAGTAAAGAAATTATTAATATTTATCTTGTGATTTCTGGAGAATCTTTAATAGTATCTATAATAAAGGCAAATCTGTTATTCCGCTTCTCTTGTATGGTTCAGATTTTGTCCCCTCACCTAAAGATGAAGCTGAATTGTTTGCCAAAAACTTCTCATCAATATCATCTCTTGATTCTACTAGTCCCGCTCAACCTGATATAGCAGACAATTCGTTGACAATCTATTGTTTGATGTTTGTATCACCCTAACTACTATTTAACAAGTTCTTATTTCAAAACTATTTAACAAGTTCTTATTAGTGTCTTGCTTTCCAGCCTGCTGGAAAGCAGCATCTGTTATTTCTATTTTCAAAAACTCTAGAGGGAGATTTGACTTGTTGAATCTAATAACTTTCTGATCATCAATATTTTGTTCTACAGCTGATTTGCTAACATTAATAACCGATAGGTTTTATAGATCTTAGGGTGTATCAGGTAACATCTTTAAGATAAATGAATCCTTCTTTACCAAATCATTGTATTAAGTTTGTTCTTGATGGATAGCACTCTTTTTCATATCCTATAATTTTAGGGGTTTCTCAAGGTTCTATCTTTAGCCCTATACTTTTTTAAATTTACATTAACAATTGGCATTATTTGCTGATGATACTACTATTTATTCTTGTCTTGATAAGAAGCCAACAAATGCAATGTTACTAAATGAAAAGTTTTTTTTTTTTTTTTTTTTTTTTTTATTTGCATTCACTCCCAACAAGGCTGCAAGCAACCACTATTAAGTTGGGAGTTACTAGAAAAAAAAAGAAGAACAGAGTTATAGAGCAAGGAAACGGTTGACAGAAGACTTGAAAAGTTGAAGGTTGTATGAGTCAGGAAAACATGAAGATGGGAAAGAGTTCCAAAGGATTGAAGTGCGAGGAAAAAAACTAGACGAATAAAAGTTTTTAGAGCATGCAGGGACAGATACAGTAAATGAATGAGACTTAGCTGAATGACGAGTAAAACGAGAACTAATTTTAGTTGATGGAACTAGAGATGATAACTCCTTCGAGCAGTGACCATGATAGTATCTGTAGAAAAGAGAAAGAGATGCAACTTTACGACAATGGGAAAGAGGTTCAAGCTTAGCAGATAGTCCAGGTCCAACAACATTTACAATGCGTTTTTGGACCTTGTCAAGAAGAGAAAGTGAATCGTTAGAAGAACCAGCCCAAATATGACAACAGTATTCCATACAGGGACGAATAAGAGATTTGTAGAGGTAGAGAATGGAATCAGAAGTAAGGAAATGGCGAGCACGATAAAGAGAAGCAACCTTAGCAGAAGCTAATTTAGCAATCGATTGTATATATGGTTTCCATGAAAGGTCAGTAGTAAGCGATAATCCAAGAAGACGTAAAGAGGACGACTCAGTAAGAGGATTGCCATTCATTAATATAGGAATGTTGACCATATTACGGTAGTTGTTTGCAGTAAGCAATTGGGTTTTTTTAGAGTTGAAATTCACAAGCCACTGTGAACCCCAATCTATTACTGAAGTGAGATCAGATTCAAGATCAGCTGCTTGTTCTAGGCGATCGAAAAGAGAAGACTTTTTAGTTAAACGATCTAGCAATCGAAATTATTCAACACCATGGTTCAGTTGTATTTATAAATGAAACTTGGTGGTAAGATACATCTTCTACAAATATTATAGGTTTTAATCTATTTAGAAAAGACAGAGATAGTTAAGGATGTGGAGTAGGTATTTACATTAAAAACAACATCAAATCCCACATTACAGACAACAGTTTACTTAACTTTAAAATAATAGAGCAAATTTAGTGCTTTATTAAGGTTGGCTCAAAAAAGATTATTTTTGGCTACATTTGTTGTCTAGGTTCATGTAGTAAATTGGAAAATTTAGCTATAATCTGCTTAATTAAACAAGTTAACAATATGTATCTAAAAAAGATAAATGCTCAGGTATCCTGCTATGTGAAGATTTTAATTATTCGAATGAAAGTTACAATTTACTTTAATATGATCAGAATATTCAAGCAAAAGAGTAAATGGGTTGTCTAAGTGATTACTTTTTGTTGTAAAGTGTTATCTACCCAACATTCCAAGTAAAAATTGGTTCAGATAGTAATTATTATTCTAATAGTGTTAGATTAAAATATAACCCAATGTGAAGACAGAGTATTTTTAGTCATGGTCAACACTTACTCAAGTTCAACTATTCATATTCTGAAAATAGAGATGATAAAAAAGCACTGAGTAAACTACTATATAACAAAGGTGATTACGAGAAATTTAATGACTATTTTAAAGAAATTAATTGGTCTGATAAATTTCTGAATTTAAATGCAAATGATTCTTACAACATTTGGTTAACAATTTATAATTATGGATGCAATTTGTTTTTTTCTAAGTTGAAAATGAATAGCAAAAAGAGAAAAGATCTTTGGATGCACAACTAAAATGCATGTGTAAAAGAAACTACAACTTTTGGTTTATGTGCAGCGATATAAAATGTAGTAATTATGTGTTGGTCACAGCATACAAACATTTGAATTCGGAGATGAAAAAAAAAGCGAAAAAAAGGATTTCGAAAGAAAACTAGCACAGAATTATAAACTACATCCTAAATTGGTATATGCATATTAACACCAAAACATCACAAAGGAACCAATGAAATCATTATGTTGGACTGATGGAACTCAAGAAGCAGTTAAACAAACTAAAAAACTAATAAAGATAATAAATATGGAACTATAATAGCCAGTACATTAAACAAGTATTTTGTTTCAAGTTTCACAAAGAAAAAAATTCTACAAACATCCCAAAACTTAGTGATTATTAAAGCTCATATCGACAAACTTGATGTATAAAAAACAATTGGAGCAGACAACGTCCACCCTAAAGTTCTCAAAATGTGTTCTAAATGACTCTGCAAGCCTTTATCTATATTATTTATTAAGTCTTACGCATCAAGTGATGTTCCAGACTTTTGAAAAAAAGAAAAAATTATACCCCTGTTTAAAAAATGAAGAAAACTGGAACTAATGAATCTAATTATCATCCAATTTCAATAACTTTAGTTGTATGTAAACTAATGAAGCAAAAACAAAGAGATTTAATTCTATAATAAATTTTTTCTCAATAACAGCTAGTTGGTGAAATTTTATATTATTTATTTCCATTGAGCAAGAACTAATGAGATTAGATCATAGACATAGGTTTTATTAGACTATCTAGGTTTTATTAGACTATCTATTTTTTTTTTTTTTTTTTTTTTGTTCTTTTAATAAAACTTTTTTTGCTTTGTTAGGCAGCGCATTGAGGATAAAATCCTTTCCTGTTCTAATAAACTTAAAAATATTAGAGAAACATAACAGCCTAGTTTTAGGTTTTCAAATAACTTGAACCAACTCAAATATATTTTAATATTTTACAGTGAAGTCAAAATTTTTGTGTGTATGCAATATTATGAGGTTAAAAATAAAAAAACAAAATCAAACAGTTTTTTTAAACAGTGATAAGTATTCTGTATAATTTTTTCCTTATTATGTTAAAAAGCAGGCAAAATATATTGCAAAAAATTTAACATGTTTAAATTTAACGAGTTTACTCAAAAAGTAAAAAAACAAATTGAAACAAAAATATAGAAAAAAACAATAAAACAAAGCAAAAAGCATACAAATAGCTGAGCAAAAAAAAAAAAAAAAAAAGGAAAGTGCAGTGTAACTTTGAACAAAATTTTATCTTAACTTTACAAGCATCCAACTCATTAAAAGCTTAATTAAGTCTTTTTTACAAGCATCCAACACATTAAAAGCTTAATAAAGTCTTTTTTTACAAGCATCCAACTCATTAAAAGTTTAACTAAGTCTTTTTTACAAGCATCCATCTCATTAAAAGTTTAATTACATAAGTCTTTTTTAACAAGCATCCAACTCATTAAAAGTTTAACTACATAAATCTTTTTTACAAGCATCCAACTCATTAAAAGTTTAATTACATAAGTCATTTTTAACAAGCATCCAACTCATTAAAAGCTTAATTAAGTCTTTTTTAATAAGTTCTATCACTTGTTATTATAGGGTTTATCAAAATTTTCGATTACACTTTTATTCACAAAGAAGAGAAACGAATGAACTTTTTTATAATAGAAGTACTATCAATCATTTTTTTAAAATGATGTTATTTTGTATGACAGTATTGTTATTTTATTTTTATTTGCTCCTGCTAAAGCAAGTTATGCAATATACTGCAAGTTAGCCTTTTTATTGTGAGTAGGCTGCAATAATAAAATCATTTTACAATACAATTATAAATAAGTTTGCATTAATTGACAACTGTAACTTTGGTGTTTCATGAAGTTTTCATATAAAGCGAATTTTAAATACAAAAAAATTTTTTTTTCAATTTAAATTTTTTCTTTTTATGTTAAGATTTATATTTCCTTTTTTAATATTGTTTTTTTTTCTGTTAAACTAAGGTTTCCATGTTTTTTTAAAAATGTCAAAACATGCAAATAGTTGTGGTCAAGTTGTCAAAACAAAATATTTTATGCATAGGCATGCAAGGGGTGCAAGCCTTCCCAGGAAGCGCATGCGGTCGCACACCTTGTTCGTCCACATTTAAAGTAATATTTTCAGGCACACTGAACATGGCAGTTTGCATCTTATTTAAAAAAAATTAAATTAAAACTTAAAATCTTCATTAATTTATTTCAATAATTCATGGCTTATCTACTGAGAAAAAAAAAAGCAATTCTAAAAAAAGGAAACAAACTTGAAACGAAATATCAAATTTTAAATAAATAAACAAGGAAAACTTATTAATTAAATAAAAATTTTTTTATAAAATTAAATAAAATAAAATAATTGAAAAAAGAAAATTAAAAATAAAATTTTTTTAATAAAATTTTTGATTTGATTTTTTTGCTATTTATTTGTAAAATATATTATTTGATTAATAAGATTTGTAATGACAGAAAAAACTAAATAAAAGAATTGCATATTTTTTTTTTTATAAATGTATTTACCACATTTGATGTCTGTCTGAAATTGTTTTCTTTATATTGCTCAATTTGCAACATTAAAATGAAATACTAAAGAAAATGATCATAATGTCTGCTCTGTTTGAAAATATATTTTTAAAAACTTAAAAAAACATTTTAAATAGGCTCCTAAAGGTTTTGTTAAAACAGCCAGTAAATTAACAATGCACTAGCTAACAAGCAGTAAATTAACAATGCACTAGCTAACAAGCAGTAAATTAACAATGCACTAGCTAACAAGCTTTTGGAGCATCATCAATAACAATAGTTCATCAGAAAATAAGCAATCGGGTTTAAATACACAGTTTGGAGAATCCAATGAGAGTGCAGACTATTTCAATGGGGGTAGTTAAAACAACTAAATATTTAATATTTGACCATTACTATCATTAATAATAAATAGTAAATAATAATAAATAAATTAAAAAAAAAAAAAATTATTTTTCAATAAGTTTTTCATGTAAAAAAAAGTCATTAATTTAATGACTTTTTTTTTACATGAAAAACTTGTTGAAAAATAACTTTTTTTTTTTTTACAAATAAATAGCAATTAGTTTTCTTGCTTTCCTGTGCATTGATAAAAACAGTAAAGTTTAGCAAAAACATTTGAAAAACAAATTTTAAAATTGTGCATATTTCTAGCGCAAATAATAAAGTGTTTCCTTAATATACCGACTGACAAAAGTTGCAAATAAATTGTATTTCAAAAAATGTTTTTATTTTCTTTATAATATTGTCTGCTTTTTTCTTTGACTTGTATAAATTTTGGTATTGGAAAATAACAAACACCTAAAAAAAAAAAAGAATACAAAACAGTGAAATATTTAGATATATTTAGTTTTTGACAAAAAATTTTTTTTTAATTTTCAATTTTTTTTTTAGTTTTTTTGTTTAAATATTCATATATAAACAAAATAACAAAAAAAAAATATTTAGTTTAGTATTCGTTTCCTTTCTTTGAGTTTGCTGTAATATTAGCTGTAGTTTTTTATAGCTTTTTTTGCCTCAAATTTTATATAAATGCTTACTATATAAAAATGTGGTAAAGTTGTCTAAAAAATTACTTTAAACATGTGCAAACAAGGTGGGCTACAGAAAAAGCTTGGGGTGCAACAGCAGAGAAGGCTTGTTTATACCTTTTTATTTTTACTTCATTTTAATATCTAAATGTGAAAATTTGGATATCAAAATACTTTTTAACTCAAAAGTAGTCCATAGCAAACCTACCTTAAAATTTAATTTTACATAAAAATACACCTTTTCCTTAAATTAAGTTTTAGTTTTTTTCAATTGTTGCTGCACCCTTATATACATGGATATAAATTCAATTTATCATTTCATTGTTTTAAGAACATTGAGCAACCTGTTTTATATATGAATATACATACATATCGGTGATCGAACCTTTTGGTTACTTCTAAACAATTAAAGAACTTGACCCGATTGTTTTAGTTTAACTTTTTTTTTAAATAAAAACACCTGGAAATTTTTTTAAAATAGAAGTAATTCATTAAAACCCTTTTAAAAAAAAAAAAATCTGAATAAATTCACAAATGTGTTAAGTGCATAGATGTGTTAAAAGTTTTCAGACGAGTATAATAAGTAGCCATGTAGATATGTTAAGTAAATAGGTAGTACATAGGTGTTAAATATGTTAATTGCATAGGTTGGTAAATATGTAGGTGTGTAAATAAGTTAAATGCATGTGTGTAGATTTTTTAAATGCATAGGTGTATTGCTTTGTTAGATTTTAAGAGTGCATATAAAAATATATGTATAAAATTTAATGCATGCTAGACATGTTGTATATTGTGTAGTTCAGATGAAAGAATATCCATTCATTCTGCAAGTGAAAAATATCATCTGAAAACTCTGTGGTAAACGTTTTTTTAAAATCTCAATAAAATAACAAAAAACCTGTATCTCAGCTTAATACTTTGGATTTCAGCTTGTAGAGCCATTTTCTCTGCTAATGCCTCATCTAACTCACTTTGTTTATTTTTTAAATCATCCTGGTATGAAAATAATATAAAAAACATAAACATTAAATTTAATATAACTTATTTTAAATTAAAAATAAATTTAAGTATAATTCATTGATTGTTGTGTACACACCAAAACTTACTACACATCTGCTAATCAATAAAAATAACACAACATAGCAATTAATGCACACCAAACAATAAAGACCAATTGATCAAAATTATTCATGTTATTCTATACACAAAATTTAATATGCTCAGTTTTTCATACAGTGTGTATATATTTAAATAATACAAGAGCACAAGAAAATTAATTGATTAGAAGCCAATTAACTTCATATCTTTCTTATATCATACTTTTGGAATAAAAATTTTTCTATAATATTGGGGACCAGTTTTATGTTCGAGGGTCTGTAGCAACCACTAAAAATATTTTTTAATAATTTTTTTATTCGAATCCAGTGTTATTTCATTATATGTCAAATATATGTAATTATTTTATAAATTTAAATTTATGTTATATTTTCTTTTCTTTAGAATAAAACATAAATTTTTATGACTGTTAAAATAATTGGTAAGATCTAAAAATAAATGCTTTTTGAGAAAAAAGTTATTGCTTTTTGAAAAAAAAATGCTATCAAATAAAAATAAATAAAAATAAAAAATAATAATAATAAAAAAAAAACACTTTGCACTTGTTTTAAGAAGTTTCATTCTTGTTTAAATACCTGATTTGTATAATAGGAATAATATTTAGCATTATATTTTTGTCATACAGCTGTGGTGGTACAAAACTTTTTTGATTCATGAAGTATTACTACAGTCGAACAACAAAAATTTAAAAAAAATTGTTTATCATTGCTTCTATCATACAAAGCTAATTTATACCTGTTATTTTTGTTTCTATCATAAAAAAGTTAATGTAAATATGTAAAAAAGAAGTAATTGGTAACATTTAGTATTTGAAACTGTCTGGTTCTTTCAGGCATCAGCTTTGATAAAATGTAAGAGACTAATCATTTTAAAATAAGCTTATAATAAATAAAATGAAATATTTTAATATAATGATGATTCCTTTGAATTTTCTTTAATTTTGCATATGAATGTTTGAACATTTTTAATGAATGGCAGAAGAACAACATTTAAAAAAGATTGTTGTTTTAAATTTTTTTTTTTTTTTTTTTTGCAAAGGTTTACATGTTATATTTAAATATATAAATAAATACTTAAACTTTTTATTGTTGATATTTAAATAAATATTATAGTAATTTTATATAATATATGAATTTACAAAGAAACTACAAATCATTAATGTAAAAATTAATTTAATTCCTACAAACTACAAATTGTTAATAGATTGATGTTAGTAATTTACAATATGTCAAAGCTCAAAAAGACACAAGGACGCTGTCAAACAGTCGCACAAATGTTACAAAAAAATACTTTATGGAAGCTTTCAGAATCATTTCAAGACAGAAATTTGGGTAAACAAAGCAACTGAAATGTCATGAAAAAGTTCCTAATAACTGTTCTCTTTGTAATTTAAAAAAAACTGTAGTGTCCCTGAAAACTTTTGTCAAAAAGAAAGCTTTACACAAATACTAACTAGCGAGACACATACACATGGAACACATTAATAATGTTGATCAGTTTGCCAAAAGTGACAAATTAGACAGGAAGTTTAGTAAAAACAAATGTCAATTCTGATTCTTGTACTGCTGCAGAAACATTTTCAGTACCAAATATGAATGTAAACTACACTATCAAACAGTTGTTTGTTATAAACACATTAAAACTATTAAATACAAAATATTATTGAAATAACTAAATTTAAAAAAATATCAAAATTATTAAATATGAAAAAAAAATGTTTTGTAAAATCATGTCTGAAAACATCATACATCATTAAGATCGAAAAAACTTTGTTTAAAACAAATCTTTTTTTTTTCTTACTGGTGCCCCTATATAACTTCTGGATATGTCACAGCCACAAACACAGAGTTAGTTGTTTAAGACTTGCGAATGTTGTGAATTTTGAAGTCTTGTAAAAGTGCTTAACAAAACTTTCTTCAACTATTTAATAAGTGTTTATATGAATCTCAGGAAAATATTATGATCCTTTCAACTACTGTCCAAATCCAATAGCCTTTTTACTTTTATTAGCTTTATTAAAAAAATTATCAGACCTTACTTTAAACTAATTGTTTACTTTTAGAAATAGTTTTCTCATTCTACTGTTGATTTGATAATGGTAACAACTAAACATTTTTACAGTAATAGAAACGGTCAAGTGAAGGGTCATTATTTTTGAAACATTCAAGGTTTCTGGCAAAGTCTAGAAAGATGGTTTTTATCATATATGTGTGTGTATGTGTGAACATAGATACACTTGAACTCTTGTAATTTAAACTCCTATAAGTTAAAAATTCAATTAAAATGAACAAATTCTTCAAATCTTTCAATGTTTCATTATTTGTATTAAACTCCTTTAATTTGAAAACTCTTGTAACTTGAACATATAAAACTCAACAAAAATATTTAATTATTTCTTCTTTGTTTTAAAATAATTCTTTCTAGTTTATTATAAAAAAAAAAAAATGCAACAAAAGTTACACAATTCTAAGCTGAATATTTGAGAGGCTTGTAGAAATAAAAAAACATGCATTTGTGAAAAAACATTTTTTAATTAAGTAACAATTAGTATTAGTAATAATTATTTCTCTTCAACGCTAATTAATGTTAATTCATTGCATAATCTTTTTATTTATTAATTTATTGCAAAATTTACAAATTATAAATTTTTGTTTTAATTACACACAATTTAATGTGATAATTCAAATCCAAGTAAAAAAGAAATTATGAAAAACATAACATGCTACAACAAAATTTAATTTTAACAAAATAGTTATATGAAATCTTTTTTAATGACAAATAAAATAATAATAAATAATAAATAATAGGGAATCTGCTCACAAAATAAAATTCTTGCAGCATAATTTCGCCTTCACCTTTTCTGTAATAACTTTAAAAAAAATAACTTTGATGACATTACAGAAAATTTTGAAAAAATTCAAAAAATGAATTTTATAAACTATATAGTATATAAAAGAATTTTGAAACACTTTTCTTTAAGCGAGTGTGGTAAATGTTTCTTTTACTTTTGTAATTAATTGAATGAATAAGCGTAATAATTTGAGAATAGTTTTTCTTAAATTTTTTTCAAAAATTATTTAAAATGCAACTCAAATTTTGATGAACAGATTTTTACAATTTTTTACAATGAATAGGATTTATCTAAATTATTAAAAAATTTCATATCTAAAATTTCCTTTGTATTAATCTAAGTAATTACTTAGATAACAGAAAACAGACATCAAATTTATACATTTAAAACTAATTAGTCTTTGGTTGATTTTATATGAAAAATATAATTTTATAATAAAGAGTTATTTAATGTTAAATTGTCCTTTTCTTTCTTTGTTTGTTTTTCATATGTTAAACAAATTGTCATCTCTTTTACATGAAACACATAAAGTTAACACAGAAAAATGTACTATGTTGTTTTAAATATAATCTATTAATATATATATATATATATATATATATATATATATATATATATATATATATATATATATATATATATATATATATATATATATATATATATATATATACATTAAAATTTATATTTGTAAATTAAATTTGTATATATATGTATGTATATATATATATATATATATATATATATATATATATATATATATATATATATATATATATATATATATATATATATATATATATATATATATATATATATATATATATATATATGTATATATGTATATATATATATATATATATATATATATATATATATATATATATATATATATATATATATATATATATATATATATATAGATAAAACATATATGTATATATGTATATATATATATATATATATATATATACATATATACATATATATATATATATATATATATATATATATATATATATATATATATATATATATATATATATAGATAAAACAACTGTTACAAAATTTCTAACTACAATGTAAAAAGTTCTGATATCTTTAATAAAAGAATATGTAACAGAATATATCGAATAGGTATTGAATGACAAGTCAATAAATTTATTTTTATGTCTACAGTTGAAAATTGTCTCACTCCTTTTGTTTAGTAGGTTGTCTCTTTTGTAAAATAATATTTTAAATTTCTCATTTAAGCATAGACTACATAGCATAACTTAAGCATAATTTACTTACATCTCTTTATATGTTGGCAATTAAACCTATTATTTTATGCCTGATTGTTTTTTACTACTAATCTCTCATTAAAGTCATACACTTCATTTAATTTGTTGCAAAATTGACATCTGTTAAAAAAACCTCTTTATCTTGCTTTAAGATTTTCTCCTGACTCCATTTTGACTCCACCTCTATGAATTTCTTATTTATCCTAGTATGACTTAGATGCCATATTTGTCTTTTAAGAATGGTCTTTCTGTTTCTCTTTTCTAAACATACTATCATGGTTGCTGCTTAAAGGAGTTATAATTTTTTGTTTCTCTTAAATTCTTGTGTAACTCATTACTTTGTCAAGACACATTCTTTCAATTTTTTTTTTTTTGTGGTTAAATTAAAGCTTTGAAACTCTACTTAAAAACTCCACAGTTGAGCAGTACATAAAAGCTTATATGTCACTGCAGAATTCAAATAATGCAGGTTTACACATAAAATTCAAAGGCCATTCATAGTTGAAATTTGACTACAAATTTTAAAAATTTGATAGCCTGTTATTTAAAGAGCCATTCTGTATCAACTCAATGGTGCATTAAAATTTAAATTAGGATTTCTTGATATGAGGGCTGTCCTACCACACAGATTAAATAAAGAATTAAATCTACCACCATTCCATACCAATAATATCAAAATAAAATAGAGAAAATGCAAACGTTTGCAAGAACTGAAAAAGAAATAACCAAAAATTTTTGTGTGACTATTACAATAATTCATGGTATATATAAAAAATAAGAAATTTTGTATACCTGAAGAATTTTTCAATTTTCCATTATTTTTCTAAAACAATATTAATATAGAAGGATAGGCTTCATTAAAAATGAAAACTCTAAATCCTAAATATTGTTTGCCTTAACAAATATGATAAATCATGCAATAAACAATTCTTTACAATAAGATGCAATGTAATGAATTAATCATTATTCATTATAGTAATATAATTATTATTCTCAATAATTACGATTACCAAATTTCAACTCTATACTAAAAATAAACAATTTTATCTTTCTCCTGTAAAACTGCCTAAAATGATTTACAAGGTTTACAAGATAGACTGACAATATGACATTTCTAACAAGTTTGTTAAACTGAATTTTATATTGAAGACAATTCAAGTTTTTAGTTTAAGACCTAGCATAACTGTCTAAATTAAAAAAAAAAAAAAAAAAAAAGCAAATTAATTTAAAATGTAACTAAAAGAAGTAAAAAAGCACTTCAAAAAATAAAAATAACATACTTGCATGTTTGCCAGTCTGTTTTTTTCATTTTTGCTTTGTAATTCAAACATCTCACAACGTTCTTTAAGCACACAATATTCTTCTTTTAACTGAGCAACCTTTAAAAAAAAAGTAATTAGGTAAGAAAAAATAAAATTACATTTATAATTAAAGGATCAACTATTATTCTATTGTTAACTAGAATTTTAAAACTATATATAAGTATGCTTAGTTTATTTTTCTAATACACTTATACAAGAAATCACACAAAGAGTCTGGTGATTTTTTAGGTCATCAAAAGTGACTTTAGTGAATTTTTAGGTAAGATTAGACAATTGAAAATTACTTATACCACAATTATTTTTTAATGATAAATGGAAACAAAATGGTGGTGAAAATGGTTTGCTATAATTATTTTTTTTTGCTAATACAGACATGATTTATATTACTAGAGAAAAACTCGAACATAATACTTAATAGTGAGAGTATACAAATACATAGTAACTAAAATTAAGGATAAGCAATCAAATTTGTAATTTACAATTAAAAAAATAATAAAAAGTACTCATAGCTAAATAAGAACAAATATCCCTAAAAATATCCAGGTGATTAGGATATTTTATCCAGGAAATTGGGGATATTTTATCCAGGTGATTGGGGGAACTTGTCTTTTCTAAACAATCATAAAGTGATAACTTTTTGTCAAGAATGTATTATGTAAGATTATGTCATCATCAAATAAATCCATCTTAGAGTTAAGATTATGAGGGAGGTCATTATTAAAGGTGATGAACAACTAAAAACCAAGATGAAATTCTGTGATATTTTGCGAAGTTACTGGAAACAAAGAGAATTGTGTTGTCCATCAAAAACAACTTTAAAATTTTTTGAATAGAAAAAAGTAATTAAATAATTAAAACTTTTACTATATGAAGTTTATGAAGACCAGCATGCCAGATTTTATCAAAAACCTCTGATATGTCAAGAGCTTTTGTCTCATTGCTTCCAGCTAGAGTACAAAATTTAGTAATCTTTATTTATAGTGTACAATATGAACTTTTCCCCTTATAACAGTTAAAAAGTCATCAGTAGAACAAGAGATTTGAAATTTGATTATCAGAGAGAAAGTTTTTAGATTCAATTTATTAAAAGTTTGTTAGTTTAAGGATTCAAAGAATTTGATAATAATAGTAAAAAGAGCGATTGGGTATTAGTTTGAGATAAAATATTAGTAAGAGTTTTAAAAATTGAAACCACAGATCTCATTTTTTAGCAGGGCACGAGTGTTATCCTAACACAAGCTTAGAGGAGTTAAAGTAGAAATAACATTATAAATGAAAGCAGTCATAATATTGATGTTTAACAGTTTAATCTGTTTCTTTGAAATGACAAGAAGAGTGTGGTCATTTAAAAAAAGAAAACAAAATTTTTGCAAGCAGTTTTTCCTTATCCTTAGGAGATGAAATGAGATCAGACTCATGAATGAGAGATAAAACCTTACACTTGCCTTTGCCATATTTGTTTACATATACTGTAAAACAAGCAGAGTAAAATATAATCAACTTACCAAATGATCATTATGAACTAAATTTGTTTCAACAACAGAATCAAATTAAAATTTTTTTTGAAAATCTTTAGAACTTAGTTTCTGAGATAATATACAAAAATTTAGTAATCTGTGAGTAATGGAACTTGGCATCAGAAATAGCTTTTTGTTTCAATTTGTTGCAATAACAAGCAGACACTTGTTCCCTATAGAGTTGTTCTTTGTGGAATTGAAAAAATGATCGTGATTAAAAATAGCAGTAAGAAAGAGAAGAAGAAAAGAAAAAGAAAACCATAGGGTAGAGTGAGGTTTGACTTAAAACTGCCATGAAGGAGTAAAAGCTTCCATGCCTGAATTCAGGAGGATTATAAAAGTGACACAATCGTTCCAGTCAGCTTTAATATAGTTGTATATTTTGTTAAAAAACATTAATCTGTATTTTTATGTAAAATGTAATGTTGTAATGTAATGTTATGTTGAATTGCAATGTAAATTGTAACACTAAATTGTAAAATATAACTGCTAAATGTAAAATATGCAGAATATTATCCGATGAAAATCTTAATCAATCAATCGGATGACAAATGATAGTAAAATGAAAGCACAAAATTAGTTGAGCTGGTATAGAATAATTTTCGATTTTAATTGTATTAGAATTTTGCTAGAACTTAATTATATTAGATTTTAATTATATTAGATATGTAGTAGATTTTAGTTTTATTAGTTTTTAATTATATTTGTTTATTATTATACTATTTTTAATTATTTAGTGAAATTAAGATAATAAAACTTCAAAAAAAATTACAATACTTAATCAAGTTTTATAAATTTGTTTTTATTAACAGCTTAATTCAAATTTGTATTAGGAATCATTCAATGACTTAATTAAAGTCTAGCATAATTAAAATCTAGCAAAATTTTAATACAATTAAAATCCCACACAAAGACAAAATTGAACCATATAAACTTGTAATAAATGCATTATTATTATAATATTATTGCGTTTATTACAAGTTTATATGGTTCAATTTTGTAACAGTTAGTAACAATAATGAATGATGACAATTACAGTAATAGTAATTAAAGGAATAATAATGATAATAAAGGCATTATTAATTATAACTATTAAAGATTATTATAAAAATAATACATAAAGATAATAGTTTCAATATCAATAATTATGCTGACAATTACAGTAATAGTAATTAAACGAATGATAATAATAATAAAGGCATTATTAATTATAACTATTAAAGATTATTATAAAAAAAATACATAAAGATAATATTTTCAATATCAATAATTATGCTGACAATAGTAGCATAATCTATAAAAATAATAATATTAGTTATAAAAATATCAGTTATAATAATAATAGAAGTGATGATATGATAATAATAAAATTTATTCAGTATAAGAAAGAATGAAATATCATAATTCAATAAAAAATATTTAAAGCTATTATTAAAACACTTAGATTAATCAAAACTGAAAACAATTATAAAATAAAAAACAAAAAATATAAAATCAAAAACAAAAAACATAAAATAAAAAAACAAAAATTATTTAAACTTGTTTTAATGCATCCTCTTCCATTAAAGATTTGCTCTCATTTGTTGATTTTTTAGTATATATTGTATCCATGGGTTTCTGATTACTAAAATCTTGTATCTAAAATATACATACATACATACAAAATGAAAACAAAATATTTTATGCCATTATAAATATCCTTTGTACATAGATACTGGCTGCCATAGCTTAAATCAAAAGTCAATCTAGTGGTCAATCAAGTTACTGTTTGAATAAAAAACTAACTTTTGTTTCAATATACATTTTTTTTTTCTTTTCAACAATGTTGTGTGATTTTGGTTGTAGTGATTTTATTTGAATTGTTGAGTTTTCTAATTAATAATCAATTATTTGTTGATTGGAATGTCGAATCTGCTTTTACTAATGATGCTAATGATGCTGTTGATTATTGGTTGCAACACATGATGAATTTTCAGTAGCCTTAAAAATTTAAACTAGATCATAAATAATAGTACAGGTATATCTATTATCTGATTTACAGTTTTAAAAATTTTAGTTACAAAACACAGTTAAAGAAAACAAAAATTGATTTACTTCTAAACTGCTGGTAAATGTTGAAATACTTCATTGTCTCTAGGAGTTGTGACAAAAAGAAAAAAAAAAAGCATTATTTTTAACCATCATATGTTTGCTATGGATTTAGCAGTTATGCAGATGCAGATCATTTCTAGAAAATTTGGAAAAAAACTTGAAAAATGTGTGAAAATTTGTATAGAAAAACAAACTTTTTTTCAATGACCAAAAAATCTAGCGCAAAACTTCATTCACTTGTTTTAAATATTGTATGGAATAAAAAACAGACAAAACCTTATCTTGCAAACATTTAATTAATTTTTGAAGTTAAAATTATTTAAAAATATATTATCATAGTGTTTCTATTATAACCATTGCGCCTTATGTTACCATAATGTCTTTCATAAATAATGTTTTATAATGCATTGTGACGAAGCAAACTAACTTAATCATAAAATATATAAATAATACTTAGAGGAGCTCTTTACTATAATAATAACTGACACTCGTTTAAAAAGAGATTGTAAAAAAAAAAATTTATTTACAAATTTAAAAAAAAAAAAATTGTAATTCTTCAAACTAAAATAAACTAACCATATTTTTATTAATAGATTTAATTGTTTAGCACAAAATGTTTTTTTACAAAATAGATGGGACATTCAACATAACAAAACACAGAGAAAATAATGGCATGATGGAAGACTTTGGAATAAAACTTCAATAAAGTGCATGATTTCTGTTTTTCGTCACAACATAGTTTATGGATAATTATACACGGCTATTTTACAATGACATTGTTAGTGAGGTTTCTGCATTAATAGCGATTATTTTTATTGAAGCAGTTAATCATGGATCTTGTTTCTCTTTTTATCACAACTCTTAGGGACATTAAAATTAAGCAACTTATTGTAGTATTTAATCATGGATCCTTTTTCTTTTTTGTCACAACTCCTAGGGACATTTAAATGAAATATTTTGACATTTACTTATAGATGTTTAAAAGAGAAGCTTTTTTTTCCTGAAACTAATAAGTGACTGGGACCCTAGCCTTGGCTAAAAATAAAAAAAAAATAAAAAAAAAAATAATGAAAAAAATAAAAAAACATTTTCCTGTAATAAAAGTCCACTCTACACTTCTAGAAGTATAGCGCACAACTGTAGTGGCCCTTGTAGGTTTAGGGAGGTGAACAGAATAATAATAATAAAAAAGCAGTTAAATTAATATAACCAAGTAGCAACAAATCACTACAACCAAAATCACAAAATAAACTTTATTGAAAATAAAAAGAGTCTATTTTTCTAAAACAACTAAAGTTTGTTTCTCTTACCAAGGTTCAGTTTGTTTCAAAACATGAACCTTGGTAAGCCTTACTTACCAAGGTTCATGTTTTGGAGTTAAAGGACTGAAGAAAAGGTACTTTTTCACATTTTATTTTACACGCACAGATTAATTAAAATTAATTATGCACAGATTAATCCTTTCAGAAATGTACTAATTAAACTAATCATTAATTAGCACATTTCTGAAAGGAATGCACAACATCTTATAAATATAATTCAACAATAACAAACTATATTTTTTTTACATATACTATAAAACAAGTAAAAATAATCGACTTACCAAAAGATCATTATGAACTAAATTTGTTTCAACAACAGAATCACATCTATGTAAGAAAATTTTACTTTAATTTTTTATTTTGCACCCAATAACATTTTACATTTATTATATTATATTATTAAACAAACCATATTACTATTTTTATACCTTATATTTTAGCATATTGTTGCAGTGGAAGCAAAAGATATACAATCTTTTGCTTCCACTGCAAATTCCACTTCCTCATTTAAATGTTATTTTACAGTATGGAAAAAAAACTGATTGCTTCAGAAAGTATTAATAGTATACCTAGTATGCTAGCTAAAATGTTGCTATAATTTTCTTATATTAAAATGGCTAAATGACATAAGATGAATGACAGATTGCAGTAAAGACTATTTTGGTTTCGATAATATTTTATACTATATATTTGGCTTTATTATCACTGAATCCTTTGCCACTAAAACTTAACACTTAAACATGCACGATATCACTTGGTTTTATATTTTTCTGTTAGCCCCCACTCTACCCCATAATTCTTTGCAATTATAATAATTTATCTCAACTTTTTCATCAGAACAATTCTACCATGAAAAAATTTGTTTATTTAACATTGCAAGCAAATAGGTCATTTACAAAAAGGTATTGTATAATGCTCAATAACTAATATGTTTTTTCTAATTTTAGATTACTATGCTGATATTTTATGGTCCTGAGGCTGATCTTTAAGTTTTTTATTTTTCTCTTAAAAGTTGTGGTATTTTTCTCAGAAACCAGACACAACTTGTAGATTGTTGGTAAATCTAAAATTAATAACAGTGAAAATATTTGATCTTTCATATTTTGGTATGATATTCTGATCTCTCCTGAGAAGAAAAAATATACAATAGAAATAACTTTTTATATCATGAAATCTAACAACAACAATCTTGCTGACATCACAAAATAAACAAGTTAATCTATTGTTAAACTTTGTAATGACTCTGCCGTGCTCACTAAACTATTTTTCAAGTACTAAAATTCATCTGCCTGCTGGAAAATGGTATGTTCTTGCTTTCAAAAAATATGTCTGGTCCATTCATTCAAAACTTTTTTCATGCTGTATCTGGGATTTTTTTCAAGTTATTAAATCATTTCTTTTTTATTTTGATTTTGACAGTATTAAGTTCTTGATAAATAAGACTCCTCATTATTTTCAACCTCTGAGATACCATAAGGTGTCATATTTGGTTTAACAGTGTTTCTAACTTACAATAATGATCTTCTTGACAATTTAAAAGGTTATTATGAGATAAGAAACAATATGAATAGAGCAAACTGTAAATAGAGCCACACTATAAGGGCTCAGAAATACAACTAGTAAACGACCGCAGTTAAATTTGACCAAGGCCAGGTTTGATAAAAAACAGCTGGAGCCAGGGCCAGGTTTGTGAACGGTGCTGCTTAAACTTTGATACACCCTAAATTGTTTTTAATTGGAAATTCTTGTTATGTTTTATTTATATATATAAATATATATATATATATGTATTATTTATATATATAAATATTTATATACATGTATATATAATATATATATATATATATATATATATATATATATATATATATATATTCATGTATGTTTATATATAAGCATCATTATGATCAACATGATCATCACCATCATCATAATCATTATCACCATCATCATCATTATCATCATCATCAAATTTAGCTGTTACCTCTCTACATGCTGCTACTTCTCTACATGTTGCTACCTCTCTACATGCTGATACTCAAATCACTTTATTCTTCTCTGAAAAACATTGTTTGATAGAATGTTTTTTCTAATCTTTGTCTAAGATTATGACTTCATTTCTTGTCTTGTTAGAGCAAACATATATCTGATTATCATCTTCTCTTTTGGCAAATACTACACCATATAAAAAAAAGTTTATACAAATATGTAAAGATATATTGTATGCCACCATCTAAATTTAATAGCAAACATGTTTACACCCATATATATCCATATTATGCATGCATAAACACGCTTTTTACCTAACCAACTGGATCCAGATACTTAAGCTCTTATCCTTCTTGTTGGTTTTAGGTCAAGTTTTTAACTCCACATTTTTCACTTTCTTGTGCAGTTGCTATATTAAACCATTAATTTTTTTTTTATCTTTTTCAAAAGAACATTTCTCATGAGAGCAAATATCATTTTATTATAGAAGCCAATGGAAATAACTCCTGTCTGATGTTAAGCTCTGTTATTCTCAGTTTACTAAATTTTATATATTATAAAAAAGGAGGATAAAAAATGGTTCAAAGCTTGAGTTATCCAGAGTTTTTTATTAGTAATCAATGAGATGATTTCAAGGGACCAAATGAAACAGTTCAAGTTAAAAAAAAGTTCAAGTTAACTGTTATTCAACTAACTGGGAATTAACTGTAACAAAATATTGTTGACATTCCTATATTGATGAATAACAATCCTATCACTCTCAGACAAGATCCAAAAGCACATTGTAAATGTAGTTGGACCTACTTTATCTGCCAAACTTGAGCCACTTTACCATAGTCGTAAGGTTGCATCTCTTTATTTTTTTCTACAGATACATGTTTGCTGCACAATTGAGCTATTATTCAAAGTTCAATCAATCAAAACTTATTGTTGCACAGCTTGACATTCAGCGAAGTTGCATCCATTTACTGTATTTGTCCCTTCATGCTATAAAAATTTTTATTTATCTAGTTTTGTTTCTTGCACATCAACAAAATATTAAAACTTATTAACTCTTCAGTTAACCGTTTCCCTGTTTTTTTTAACCCTATCTTTTGTTTTCTAGTAACTCATAACTTAATAGCGGTTACTTGCATCCATTTTGGAAATGAAGTTGTTTTAAAATGCATATATATGTATATATATATGTATATATACCAGTATTTAATAAATAGTAAATGTATACGGAGATTTATAATATATAAAGTATTATAAATTTTTTCCTAGCCCTAGTTATCAACCCTTGCTAAACCTTATAACTCTTCCGGGGCCAGGTTTGTAAAAAGTCTCATTTTTAGGCAGGACCAATTTCTTTTTTTTTTGTATGTATTTAGGTGTTCCCAGAAGTCCTTACGGTCTTGTCATAGAGCACCGCAGGAGAGCATTTAACGGGAAGTTCACGCCTCCTTCCATACCAATGTCGCTTGTTGGGCTAGAGCTGGCGCCGAACCTCGGACCTCTGGGTTCTGAGCCAGAACTCTAACCACTGCGCCACGGCTGCTGAATTAATCACTACTCGATTGCATATAACAAGTACTCAATCTTGAGTGCGAGATGGTCGCTGCTCAAGCAAGCTACTACCATGGTTGCTGCTCAAGCAAGCTACTATCATTTGTTTTACTTACCAAAACACAATTTTGCATGAATTGGCATTCACCAAAGTCCTTTTAGTGTAACTGTTACATCATGCTCTAAAACTTTAATTTGCCTAGTATTTTCCCTTGCAAATCAATGTTTTAGAATTCTCTCTCATTTTTACATTTTCCTCACTCATACAGTTTTCCAAGTCTTGCTCTTGAGCCATATTTTTTAAGTTTATAACAAAATAACTTGGCAAAACACTTTATTAGGCAACAAACTTAAGAATGAATTAATATTGTGAATAACGGAAAGGTTAAGTATTATGTAAGATGTTTTACACCTTCGTGACCCGAACAATTTGAATAGTAATAGCAATAAAGTTGACGATTATGAAAAATTTAATAAAATCAGTATAACCATAACATAAGTCAATTATTAAGTTAATTGAATATACTTCTAACAATCAAAATGAAAATGTTGTCAGTAATAATGATGATCATGTTAATGATGTAGATGAAATTATAGTAGTATATATACCTTCAGCTTTTTTGCCACTCCCAAAATTAAATACTAAGAAAAATATATTGTTAAAGAAAGAAAATTTTCAATTAAAAAAAAAAAAACTTATATTCTAGAAAAAGATACTATACAACTATTGTGAGGAAAGAAAATATTGGTAACAAATATTTAAAAATTGTATATGATCATCTCTTAAATGTTCATTCAAGGAGTGTCAAAGCAGAATGTTCTCTGCTGTGAGGCTCATCACTGCAAAAATAAAATTGCAATTAAGTGACAGAAGTATAGATAATTTATGTTTCTTGCAAGCATATTTTCAAAAAGATGATACATTGAAAATAATATTTATTTTATTTTTAAAATGAACTCATTGTATTTTTATTACATGTGTATTTTTATTATTTTTATCTATTTTCAGTATATTTTTATTGCTATTGTATTATTAATAGTGTAAACTGAAAATAATAAAATATGTATTTTAGTACAAAATTTTTTGAACTCTAAATTAATACTGTGTATTTCAGAAACATTTTTAAAATGTACAAAATTACCGGTAATTTACCAGTTAACCGGTAATCCATTCTTTTAATAGAACTATTGCTAATTAAAAAAGTTAGTAATTTTGCAATCCCAATGAATATAGACATTTTAGAAGTTTTTAAACAGATCAAAACTTTTTATTTATAGACTATATGGAGTTCATCAACCTTTTAAGCCTGAGATCACATATATGAGATATGCCCTCTGCTACTACACCATTAACAAGTATAATACATTGTGCCTTGTATAACAAGTAGCTAAATAATTTGCAAGGCAAACTGGAAGCGTGTGCCATACAATGCCATACAAACTTTTGCAATCAAAATCATTATATAAATGTTAATTTAAATCTAAATATCTTACTAAGTTTAATTTAATGACTAAAAAAATTAACACAACAAAAGCATAACACTCAACAAAACAAAAATTTATATCGAAATGTTTAGTAAAAATACTAATAGAAAATAATGTTAAAAACTGACCCACATACGCCTATCTCCAGTTGCTTTATTCTTTTCAAAAGTTCTTCATTTTCATGTGTGAGAAGCTTGAGCCGTGTTGAAGTCGCGGCATCACGTGCTTTTTGTGCAGTATATATCTTGTCGATTAAAACTGAATAATAAAAAATTAATTCTATAGATAACTATAGATACTCAGATATCTATAAAATTAATATTGAAAATTTTAGAATGAAATCTTTACATTATTAAATAGTGTTTTTTATATACTAAGTTGGATAAGTTGCATTCTCTCACTTGCAAATGCTCTTTATTTTCAAACCTTCAATTTTTTTTCCAAATCTTTACTTTTCTTTTATCTTTCTAACCTTTAACTTTTTATTCTTTTTTTTTTTTTTTGGCATCACAGATGTATTATACTAGATATTGGTTATTGGAAGGTTTTAAATATATAAAATATATATATATATATATATATATATATATATATATATATATATATATATATATATATATATATATATATGTATATATATATATATATATATATATATATATATATATATATATATATATATATATATATATATATATATATATATATATATATATATATATATATATATATATATATATATATATCAACCCTCAGAATTAGGAAAAATGAGGTCGGATATTATTGCCGACCTCAATCTTTTAGAGGTCAGCATCAGGTTGGCAAAGAAAATTGGATACAAAGGTTTCATCATAAAGCAAAAAAATAAGGTCAGCAATTATTTGCTGATCTCAAACACTTTAAGGTCAGCAGTTAGGTCGGCATTGCTGATTGCCGATCTTAATTTCGAGGGTCGATATATAAATATACACTATATATATAAATAAATAAATATATATATATATATATATTTATTTATTCGAGGGTCGATATATAAATATACACTATATTATTCGAGGGTCGATATATAAATATACACTATATAAATAAATATATATATATATATATATATATATATATATATATATATATATATATATATATATATATATATATATATATATATATATATAGAGTGTGTATATATATATATATATATATATATATATATATATATATATATATATATATATATATATATATATATATATATATATATATATATAGTGTATATATATATATATATATATATATATATATATATATATATACATACACTATTATATATATATATATATATATATATATATATATATATAGTGTATATATATATATATATATATATATATATATATATATATATATATATATACACTATTATATATATATATATATATATATATATATATATATATATATATATATATATATATATATATATATATATATATATATATATCTTTAATTTAAACAAAATTGTTATAAAAAAAACTATAAAAATTTAAATGCTGTTTGAGAAAAAAATATTTCCTTATTTAAAAAAACTTATACTATTTATTTCTTAAAACATTCATTATAAAACACACAATATTATTGTCTTACATTAGCTTACTCACAAATTATTAAGTTTTATAAGAAGTTTTTCATAAACTGTTTATGGGTGAATTACTGAACCATCAAAAAAAAAAAAATCAACAATTTAAAAAAAAAAATTATTATAATAATTAAAACTAGTTCATTCTATGATCAATCTTAAAAAATTAATGTTAATAAAATTTAGCTAAAAAATGATTTCATAACTAAAAAAAATTATCTTTTCATAAAATTGTTATATAAAGTTCAATAAAAAAATTCTGATCTAGATTATGGTTTATCCAGCAATCCGATTATATTCAGTTATAAGTGCATTAAGGACATTTGTATATTAGCACTTTCGTAACAGGATGAAAAATAAATTATTAATTTGAAACTTTCACTAAATAAACAAAACAGTTAAATGTAAAACAAACATTTTGAAGTAACTTGAATTAAACTCATTTTTAAAAGTTTTCTTTGTTTCAACTAGTTTGGAAATTTTAGCAGTAAAAAAAAAACTAAAACGGAATTTTTTTATAGTTTTTAAACAAAATTAAATTAATTTAAACTTATTAATATTTAATAATAAATTTAATTTAAATGAAATAAAATAAATTTAAATTACAAATTTTTTAAAAATAGAATGTAGAAAAGTTTGTTTAAAAAATGATGGCGATAGTTCCAATCACCCATCTTAAGAGTAACATTATATATTGCAAAGCAAACTGTTACAATAGAATTAAACTAGAAAATTTTTAAAGAATTGCTTACATAGGTACAAACTTTTTGGTTTAAGACTTACTCAGTGAAAGAAACAAACTTACAATTTACTAGAGCTTTGCAATTCAGTATAAAGCAATTAATAAACTTCCAGCAATTAAAGATGTAGACATACTACCCAATAGTGACATCATAGTATTATTGCAAAAAAAGCATTTTTTTTTTTTTTTTTGCATTCACTCCCAACAAGGCTGCAAGCAACTACTATTAAGTTGGGAGTTACTAGGAAAGAAAAGAACAGAGTTATAGAGCAAGGAAAGACAGAAGACTTGAAAAGTTGAAGGTTGTATGAGTCAGGAAAACATGAAGATGGGAGAGACTTCCAAAGGATTGAAGTGCGGGGAAAAAAACTAGATGAATAAAAGTTTTTAGAGCATGCAGGGACAGATACAGTAAATGAATGAGACTTAGCTGAATGACAAGTAAAACAAGAATGAATTTTAGTTGATGGAACTAGAGATGATAACTCCTTTGAGCAGTGACCATGATAGTATTTGTAGAAAAGAGAAAGAGATGCAACTCTACCACGATGGGAAAGAGGCTCAAGCTTAGCAAATTTTCCAGGTCCAACAACATTTACAATGCGTTTTTGGACCTTGTCAAGAAGAGAAAGTGAATCGTTAGAACCAGCCCAAATATGACAACAGTATTCCATACAGGGACAAATAAGAGAACTGTAGAGGTAGAGAATGGAATCAGAAGTAAGGAAATGGCGAGCACGATAAAGAAAAGTAGTAAGCGATAATCCAAGAAGACATAAAGAGGACGACTCAGTAAGAGGATTGCCATTCATTAATATAGGACCATAATATGTTGACCATATTACGGTTGTTGTTTGCAGTAAACAACTGGGTTTTGTTAGAGTTGAAATTCACAAGCCACTGTGAACCCCAATCTATTACTGAAGTGAGATCGGATTCAAGATCAGCTGCTTGTTTTAGGCGATCGAAAAGAGAAGACTTTTTGTCAAGACAGGAGTATAAAGTTGAGTCATCAGCAAAAAGAGCTACTTTAGATGAAAGGTTGTCAGGAAGATCGTTTATGTAGATAAGAAACAAAACAGGGCCCAGGATGGAACCTTGGGGAACCCCAGAAGTTACTGGAAATAAAGAAGAGTGTTGGCCTTCAAGGATGACTTTAATAAACCGGTTAGAAAGAAATGATTTGATAATCTCAAAAACTTTCTCAGAAACACCATATGAAGCAAGCTTATGGAGAAGACCAGCATGCCAAACTTTGTCGAAAGCTTTAGATATGTCGAGAGCAATAGCCCTAGCGTCACCGCCTCCATCTAATGCACAATAAAATCTTTCAGTTACAGCAGTTGGCAAGTCGGCCGTAGAGCGAGAGGATCGAAAACCGTATTGATTGTCTGACAGTAGTTTATTTGACTCAAGATGAGATGTGAGGAATTTGTTGATCAGACTCAAAGACCTAGCTAGTAACAGAAAGAAGACTGATCGGACAATAATTGGAGGGGTCAGAATTTTCTCCAGAGTTTTTGAATATTGGAACCACAGATGCCATTTTCCATCAAGCAGGAAAACAAGACTTAGTCAAACACTTGTTAAATAGTTTAGAGAGAATTGAAGAAAGTTCTGGAGAACAATTCTGCAAGACTGTGACAGGAATGTTGTCTGGACCACAAGCTGTAGACGAGTTTAATTGAGATATGACTTTAGCAACAGAAGCCGGAGTGATTTGAATGTCTAACAATGGGTCAACCTGTTTGACTGGAATGGAAGGAAGAGAATGTCCATAAGATTCAAGAGTGGAATTAGAAGAAAAATTCTTTGCAAGTAGTTCTGCCTTATCCTTGGGAAAAGTAATAAGATCAGTCCCATTAATGAGAGATGGAATGTTAGATTTACCCTTGTTAATAATGCTGTTGAAGATTTTCCAAAAATCTTTAGAGCCTAACTTCTGTGATAAGGTGCGCCCAAAAAAGAAGTATGGGAAGAAAGATTTATAGAGATCATTGCATGGTCAGAACCACCTAAGGGAGAAAAGGGAGAAACTGAACATAAGCTAGGGTCAGAGACAAGACATAAGTCAAGGAGTGAAGTTAAATGATTAGGGTTGTCAGGAAAACGAGTCACAAAGTTAACTATCTGAGTAAGAGATTGAGAAACGCAGAAGTTAAAGGCTTTAGTGCCAGCAGGATCAGTGGTGTTAGAGCCAAGCCATTCAGTGTGATGGGCATTAAAATCACCAACAACAACAATATTGGCAGAGGAGTAAAGAGAAAGGGCATGGTCAATTTGATCAGAGATAACATCTAAAAGAGTGCAATCATGGGAAGAAGGAGAACGATAAAGAACAAAGAGAAAGGTGATAGAGTGAAGAGGTGCTAGGCGAAAGCACATAAAAGAATGGTCAAAGGATTGGAACCTGATTTCACGACAAATAGGGGAATTAATGCGTATGTATATCCCTAAACCTAGCATGTGACTATTGGAGTCTTTACGAATCAAAGGATAGTACCCATCAACACTGACATCTGAAGAAGGAATTGCAGAATTTAAATTTGTTTCACTGAGTGCAAGCAAGTCTGGTGAATTTTGCAGGAGGTAAGACTCAACTGACGGAAAGTTGCTTCGCAGAACGCAAATATTTGTAAAAGATATATTAAAACATATTTTAGGTGGTGGGGATGGTTTTTTAGGTTTAAAATTTTTGGTTATTTTTGTCATGATTTGGGTTTAATGAAAACTTGACTCTTTCATAGATAGAGCACAGCCTCCTAATCAATGAGCTATGCAGTTGTCTCAGTCCTGTTAATTAACCCTAAGCCGTGACATAGGGCTCCTTATGTGGCCTTGACAATGCACACCAAAAGCATTAACAGGGACACCATCTATGCACAACATGGCGCTGTTAATACTCTGATATTTTGCAGCTGTTGATGGAATCAGCCTCTCTGAGAGCTACCACAGAGTTCGGGAAACTTTACTACCAGCCATCCTCAGAACCATTAAACTGAGTTTTAGAGCTGTACCCTCATATGGAAATAACAGGAAGAGTTGCATAGCCATTATCAAGGAGGCATAAGCAAAATTCTATGAGTAGAGTCAAGGAAATCCAGCATTCATCATCCTAGGCAGGAAACAATGTAACACAGGTTACATCTACGCCAGCCTAATAGATGAAGAAGGGTTTCGAGGCTGGTTAGCAGAATTTTTCTGCTTACCCTTAAAGTCTTTGCCTAGGAGGCCTTCTACAAGACAGTAGATGGATGCAGTTAACATCTGCCCAAGATGAGTATTTTTATCGAGACACCATCTCTAGCCTTTAATCAACCAAGAGCCCCAAGGCAGGGGAACTTTTAGTTGGAGTTTATTTCTCCTAGCCTTTGCCTAAAAAGAGCACACTCTGCAAGGCAGCAGGGCTTGTGGCAGGTGGTACTGGGTTACGTGATACCAGTAGCAAGATTGATCTTGATTATCCTGACCTGACCTGGAGTAGTTAAAAGGAGTTACTTCCCGCAACAGTACTTTGAGAAAACCAGGCATGAAATTTTGGAAGTGCATTAGGAAAAACACTGCATCTAACAAAATACAGGAGTCTAAGGTGAGTGTAGGTTTTGTAGTTGGAGTAAGTTACTGAGCTCAAGCTGCATCAGAGAATAAACAGAACATAAACAAACATAAATCAACTTACGAGTGAATCAACACCGCGCCAGAGGTTCAGACAGAACACAAGCATATATAAAAAACATAAAGTAACTTACGGGTGAGCGAACACCGCGCCAGAGGTTCAGACAGAACACAAACATACATAAAAAAAACATAAAAAACATAAACATAAAGTAACTTACGGGTGGGGGAACAACGCGCCAGAGGTTTAGACAGATCACAGACATACATAAAAACATAAAGTAACTTACGGGTGAGCAAACACCGCGCCAGAGGTTCAGACAGAACACAAACATACATATAAAGCAAATCCTGCAAGGCAGCAGAACATGTAACAAGTTGCACTAGGTTACATGTTACTAGTAGCAGGATGATCATGAAGACCATACTCCTGAACTGACATATAAAGTATGTATATATATACATACTAATCATGAAGTATATAAAGTATATATATATATATATATATATATATATATATATATATATATATATATATATATATATATATATATACATACTTATAAGCACATAAAGTATGCATATATAGCATATTAGCATATAAAGTATGTATATATATACAGCATACAAAGTATGTATATATATAAATATAAAGTATGTATATATCTACATACTTTATATGTATGTACATATACATACTCCATATATATAGATATATAAATGTATGTATATATGTATATATATACATACCCATGTATATATATATATATATATATATATATATATATATATATATATATATATATATATATACATACATATGTATATATATACATACTTTATAAGTATGAACAAATATATATATGAAGCATATAAAGTATGTATATATATACATACTAATCATGAAGACCATACTCCTGACCTGACATTTAAAGTATGTATATATATATATACATACTTAAAATCAAACCCCATTTAAAACCACACTTAAAATTATTGTTTTTTTTATCTTGATCATGCCAGTTTGTCTTGATAACTTAAGGCGTTTCAAAAATGCGTAGAAAAATGATTTGCCAAGTCATTCCTTCCAATTTTATTAAGTACCTCAATAAAATCATCATAGTTATCAATCCCAAGAAGCATACGATGTTCTAAAGTTTGAATTAATTCAATAGGAGTTTTAATTCTTTCAAGATGACCATAGCCAATTTGTTGTGAATAATAAAATTTAATTGCTTTAACATCTTTATTTAACAGATTATCTGCAACTTGCTTTTATTTATTAATATTGCAGTTAAATTTTGTTTGTTTGTTTATTTTATTTATGTGTCACTCCGAGGACTAGTTTTTAACTATATGAGTGACACCTAACCTAAATTTGTAAAACTATAAAAAAATTGCAATTTTTATTTTGAAGGCAGCATAATCGATAATATATACATATATATATATATATATATATATATATATATATATATATATATATATATATATATATATATATAAATATATATATATATATATATATATATATATATATATATATATATATATATATATATATATATATATATATATATATATATATATATATATATATATGAACCATTAATGGAACCCAATTAGCTTTTAAATAAACATTGGGTAATTCTTGATTCCCTAATCAATAATGATCCCTTTTACAGATTATATACTGCTAGTTATAATATTAATAAAGAGAGAAAAAAAAAAAAAAAAACTATCATCAGAGATGACAATGTATTACATTTACAATGCAACTACAATTGCATTGTAAAGGTGGCATAGATATATATCAAATTTGGGTATTTATGTCACAAAATACCTGCTCCTTGAGCTGCAACAGCTACTTCCATTTCCATTTTCATATCTTTTTTATTTTGAAGAACTTTTTCTAATTCAAGCTCAGTTAAAGAAAGTTTTTCAGTAAGCTAAAAAATAAATAAATAAATAAACAAACTAAGTCTTGTTTCTCCGAATTATTATAAAATATGTATACAATAAAGTATTAATTAACCTATATGTATTATATATTAGATGTGAATCTTTATGTATGCAATGCATCTATAGAGTTAACAAATTAATCAAATTATTTTACAACAAACTAATTAAAACCAAATTATTTATTAAACTTTAAATCCCTGATAAATCAAAATTAAGAATTCATACATTTTAACATAAAATAAATTATTCAATTATAAATAATTTAAAAGTTTACAGTTTTGTTTAATAGACGAGAAGATTTTAATTCCTCCATTAACAAACTTTCATTAGAAGTTCCATTCAGTTTTCGTGTATTGTTATTTACGTTGGATCTACTAAAATAATACTTATAATAAATAAATAAAAAATTAAAAAAAAAAAGCTTAGATTTATTAGAACAAAAATGTTTAGGTAAAACAAATGAATACCTGTTGAGAGAAGAATACAATGACTCAGAATATTCTCTATTTAAATTATTTGAAAGATTTCGAAGTTCATTTTCTGCAGTTTCTCTCATAACCCTCTCTTTTTCCAAAATTTCTTGTCTAATATATATATATATATATATATATATATATATATATATATATATATATATATATATATATATATATATATATATATATATATATATATATATATATATATATATATATATATATATATATATATATATATATATATATATATATATATATACATATATACATACATACATACATACATACATATATATATATATATATACATATACATATATATATATATATATATATATATATATATATATATATATATATATATATATACACATATATATATATATATATATATAAATATATATATATATATATATATATATATAAATATATATATATATATATATATATATATATATATATATATATATATATATATATATATATATATATATATATATATATATATATATATATATATATATATATATATATATATATATATATGAGAAAAAACAACTTTTTTAAGATAAAAAAGTTGTTTTTTTTCATCTAAAGTTTCATGCCATTTTCGGCACTCATCAGCCATATATTTAAATCAAGGAAAAACCGTTTAAAAATAAAATTAAAAAACTGTTACAAAATTCAAAAATATATTCTAATTGCCAGTGTCAAATTGAGAAAGGAGGAATCTGTTTCTATGTCTGCACTTAAAAACAATCTCACTCCTTTTATTTAGTAGATAAGTATTTTCATAATTAAGGATTTCATATTTTTCAGTGAGACATAATTTACAAGATTTGGATGTTGGATTATATGCTTTACATTGCCTAAGAACTTTCCACTTAATTATAGGAACTAAATTGGTTTCTTTTATTTTCCATACCTGCTTTGAGAGCTCACTTTTGTATTTAGGGATGTTGAAAGATTTAACGTAATTAGAGTATCTTAGTTTAAAAGAAGTCTCACTTATATTAATGTAGGATTTTTCGTTAGGAGATGAATCACTATTAGTGGTGGTTACAGTTGCTTGATATACAATGTTGCTTGTTAAACAATTATTGAACAACGGACAGAGATTTTTATTTAAACAGTTACAATTTTCTTGATTAGAGTTTGTATTGTTGCATAAAATGTATTTGTTGTGCAAATTAATAATCGATTTTACACTTGGCATACAAATGTATCTAACTTTGATTGTGTTACTGTTAAAGATTTTATGCAGTTTGTTATCATTAGGAAAATGTTTGTCAATTAATTTTTAAAAAAATTTTCCCACGTTGGTGCTAACGCTTTTGCTAAATGGAGGATTAAACAAAATGATGTTACGTGCTCTGCTCCGTTTTCGAGTTGATATTGCTTTAGGATTATATGTTAGACTATATTGAAAACCAGACTTTAATAAAGCTTCATTATATAGAAGAATATTATGTTGAAATATTTCTTTGGTAGAAGAATTTGTAGATAATCTATGTTCAACCGAGTGTGGTATTGGTTTCAGTATACTTGGCGGGTGATTTGATTCAGCATGGGTTTAATTTAATGTATTATCAGGTTTAAAATAAGGTTTAAAGGTGCACTCACTAAGATTTAGAGTAACGTTGAGGTAGTTGACAATTTTAATGTTGCATTGTATAGAAATCCGTAAGCCATTGTATTTAAATATTTCTACAATATGCTTTTTTATTTTTTCCATTTGAGGACCGCTTTTATTACTAAAAACTGCTAAGCCATCGTCACGGTATAAACCAACCTCAAACTTGTTACAAAATTTTGAAATTTCGAAAAGAAGAAATATTCCTACCAGCTTACAAACCTCCAATAAACTCACAAACATTAAACAAACCACTTGATTGGTTTATCCAAACCTGATTATTATTGAAAAGCAAAGACTTTCTTGCATGCAAAATTAACGATATCTTCTCTTTATTTAGTGTTAACTGTTTCTCTGCAAATTTGATAGAGTTTTTTAGAAGTGTTTCACTAATAGAAGGGTAGAAGTCAATAATATCAAAAATTTAAAATTTATAAAGGTGTTTGTCTTTTATGGCTTTAAACTAATCGATAACATTTTAAGTGTTTTTCCATTGATTTAATTGTAATATACTTCTTAGGTCTGTATTAATTTTAGAAAGAACATCTTTACTAATTCTACCAACCTCATTTTTAGCAGGGTTCAATAAACGGACAGCCAGATTGTTTTCAAAATTCTCTTTATGGTCTTTTAAGGTGATAAAACAATTGGAAGCTGTATTAATATCAATTTTATTGAAAACTTCATGATTTTTCAAAAGATGTTTACCTTCTATGTTTACTTTATTTATTATGTTTGAGTTAGATAATTTGTAGTTTGAAGTGATGTCATTTCTTAACAAGTGATTATAATCATTTTTAGATAACTTGTAAAGATTAGATGTTTTATCAGCATAGATATAAGTTAGATTAGATTTTCAAATAATGCTTATACCTTGTTTTAGTTTATTTTGAAAACTGCTGTGTACCTTTCGAAACTTAATGTGTTTTACAAGATCAATGAGTTTGTTCTGGAAAGCTAGCATTTCTGTAATTTGTTTTGGATGATTAGATGTTAATAGTTATAATAAAAATTGTTTTGTATTTGAACTCTTATTTAAAAAGAAAAACGCTTTCCATCGCATTCTTTTGATTGTTTCAGTTTTATCCAATAATTGTATTTTCAAGTCTTTAATAGATGGTATCAGAATGTTCTTGACTGAATATATAAAGTTTATTTTTTCCATTACATATGCGACTTGAGTAGAGTTCTAAACGTAGGGAGCAAAAAATTCTTAAATTTCATCTTTTCTCTTCCAGTAACTTCTAATTCTATAGGTGGCGAGACTTCTTTTAAATTAAGATACTCTAATCACGTTAAATCTTTCAACATCCCTAAATACAAAAATGATACTGAGCTCTCAAAGCAGGTATGGAAAATAAAAAAACCAATTTAGTTCCTATAATTAAGTGGAAAGTTCTTAGGTGATGTAAAGCATATAATCAACATCCAAATCTTGTAAATTATGTCTCACCAAAAAAATATGAAATCCTAAATTATAAAAATACTTATCTACTAAATAAAAGGAGTGAGATTGTTTTTAAATGCAGACATAGAAACAGATTCCTCTTTTCTCAATTTGACACTGGCGATTAGAACAGATATTTTTTCCATATTATTATTATTATTATTATTGCTATTATTGCTATTATTATTACTATTATTATTATTAATATTATTATTATTATTATTATTATTATTATTAATGTTATTATTATTATTATTTGACATCATAACTCATTCCATTGTTTTTTTTGAACTTTGTAACAGTTTTTTAATTGTATTTTTAAACGGCTTTTTCTTGATTAAAATATATGGCTAAAATAACTTTTTGAACTATTTTGTGATTATTTCATTTTATAATGATCACTCTCAAATCGAAAAAAAGTTGATTATTATCAGATAATAAAAACAACAATATATATATATATATATATATATATATATATATATATATATATATATATATATATATATATATATATATATATATATATATATATATATAGTGAAAACTAAATAATTATTACATCTGATGATCGCTATTGCGTGAAACTTTTAGTTATGTAATTGAAATATATCTTAATAATTATTTAGTTTTCACTATATTATATATATATATATATATATATTTATATATATATATATATACAGACAGGCCTCGGCGGAAATAAATGAGTACGAGAGCGGAGAAAAGCTCTCCTGAAACAAACTTGGGGAGCTGTGCGAGCTGCCCATCATTTAAATTGGCGCTCTTTTTTAATTCTAATTTTTTTTTGCAACAACTGTGTTTTTTAAAAAGCATTTCAGTACATTATGCAATTAATTTTTTCTAAATGAAATCGTGATTCTTATTTTATTTAAAATGATAATTATACTTTTATGAGAAAAATTATACTTTTGCGAGAGCCTAAACAGCTCTCGTGAACCGTTTCAGGGAAGTGTGGGAGAGAACGAGAGCTAAAGCTCTCGCTTCCCACTGAGGCCTATATATATATATATATATATATATATATATATATATATATATATATATATATATATATATATATATATATATATATATATATATATATATCTTTTGAGATCCAACTTAATATACTTTAGGAGAAAAAAAATATATATATCTACTAAAGTGTATATAGATAACAAGTTGTAACTAGTTTTTTTTTTTTTTTACTTTCTATCAAGCATATAGCTTTTTCAGAAAAAAAAAAGAAAAAAACTAAAAATAAAGAAAAATCGCTGCCTCATGCCAGACCCTCAGTTGATGTAGCAGCACTCTTTTGCAGCAGCAGGCTATAAGATAGCAAATAAATATACTGAAGCCATCGGCAGCAGGCTATTTCAGAGAGACGTCAGAGATGTTATTTAAACACACATTCATAGTACATATACACGCATAATGTGTCATTTCTATTCAAAAAACAAAGAAACAATTTTTCAGCAGTATAAGGTAAAAAGTAAGGGTCTTCACAAAGAAACCATGAAACCTTAAAATTTTAGATCCAAAACCTCCAAAGAAAATAATAAAGGAAAAAGAAAAACGTAAAAAGTCACAAACATTTTAAATTAGAAACTATGTTTAGATATTATAGATATATTATAGATATTCAATCTTGAATACTTTGTTGCTATACCTTGGTTACCTATTCTAACAATACTTGCTTCTCTCTTAGATAAATTTAAAAAATGCATTAAGAAAATATAAATAAAACAAAGTCATCTTCCTAAATCATTTAAGTAACACTAAACTTAACTTGAAAAATAAAATGAACTTAAAAAAATATATACTAAAAACAAACTAACAAATGATAAAGCAGAAAAGATTATAAATGTGATATCACTAATTTTATAAAAACATTTAAAAAAAAGCAACTAGCAAAGAAAAGAGAAAAAATTAATTATTAAATATTCTTTTATACTTTTTATGGCCAGTATGAATGGTAAAAGATTAAAAATCATACAAAAAAAAAAACCTTTTGCTTTCTTT